GCACCGACCTCAGTGGTGATGTAAAGTATCATCAGTGGGAGAAGGATCTTGTGTTAGAATCCTCTTGCAGGCAGGCTAACGGTGGGAGGTTTTCCTTTCCATGTAACAAAAATGGGGATTAGATTCATCAAAATGTCCTCCAAGAAGGCAAATTTCTCCTAATACTTCACCCAGAGCCGCGATGACTCAGGGGATAGAGTACGCGTCCTCTCAATGAGGTGATCCAGGTTCTATACCTGTGTTGGCTGGTCGATTCGAATTCTGCTGCCGGCTTGCTCCAGCCGCAGTGCGGACGTAAAATATCCTCAGATGTAAACTGATCATGGGTTAGAATCCCCTTGCTGCACGGGCTAGTCGTGGAAGGCTTTCGTGGTTTTCCTCTCCGAGTAACGCAAAGACGGGTTACTTAAGTCAATAAGTCCACCACGAAGGCAAATTTCTCCAAATACTTTATCCAGGAGTTCACGTGTCTTCTTGATTGGCTTATAAGGCTACGGAGTTGAACATTGGTAGTCTGCAGATTAATGCCGGCTGTTCAACGACGGTTGTAAAATAAAATGTGTGGTATTGTTTTTAAAGCTCTTATTCTCAATATTGATTTACCAGATTTTGGTAACAATTCCGCTTTTTCACTTAAAAATTGATTTTTATGCCCTATAATATGGAACAAAAAATGTATGCAAAAGGGGGACGATCATGTACATATTGTTAAATATTACTTTACTAATGTCATTTCTATAATTAACTAATTTTGAGTGTGAAATAATTTGACTTACCTTTAATTCTTTGGAAATATATTTTTATTAATAACATAGACGGCACGAAACACATAGAAAAGGGTAGAAGACGTAGCAAAAGCATTCAGGCTTCTGGTGCCGCGCAAACATTCATCAGCGCCACCAGCGGAATATTTCTTAATTATCATTAAATTACAACACACTCCCCCCCGATGAACTCACAGGAGTTCATCAAGGGTAGAGAACAAAGTTAACTTAAACATTCTTTTTTAAACTCTGAAAAACATAAAAAATACTAAATATGTATAGTTATGAACAACAATAATGATGATAATGTACTGAAAGTATAATGCAAATTCACATTAAAATATTAATAGAATATTAAGTTTGAAGTTCCAAATTATATAGAAGTTGAACTGGACGTTTAATAACTGATATATCAGTTTTTACTTTGCATGCTCTAACCTTGCCGTCTCTTCCAGGAAACAATTCCGAAATTTTACCAAGTTTCCAAAAATTGCGTGGTTGAAAATCATCCTTAATTATAACTATATCGTTAACGTTAAAGTTAGGTACATTATTCTTAATCAAACTTAAATGTGCTGATCTTAAATTTAGGAGATACTCATTTTTCCACCTTGACCAAAAAGATTTCATTAATCTCTCACGCAGTGGCGTACGCGAGGGAGGGGTTTAGGGGTTTAAACACCCCCCTTGAGCTCAGACAAAATGGCAAAAATAAAAATTTTAGTAGAAATTATGCGAGCTATTATTTTGTAAGACTATATATTTTTCTAATGTGTCTTATGCCTACTTTTTTTTCTCATGGTATTTCTCAGAACACAGAAAAAACATTTACTGTAATAGGGTTGTACTTTGGAAACCAAAATCACGTGNGGATGTCAAAAGGCAAGAATTTAACAATTTTTAATAACTTTGAAAAAAAATCACGACATGAAATTAGTGAGGTGACAGCATCTAGTACCAATGTAAGTTTTTCTGTTATACAGAAATGTGATACTTCAGTTGAAGAAAACGTTTCTAGCATAACAAAATCTGATGAATGTGAAAGTGGCCCTCAAAGTGTTACTTCTCACCCATATGACATTGGACTTTTTTCTGAAGATATTACATTATGTTCTTAAACTTAAAAAATCAAATCAAAATTTAACTAAACAATTTTGGTTAAATGTTGTCAAAAAGTCAAAATTGTCCAGCTGTCTAAATTAGGGAAATAATAGTGCTTCATTACAGACTCGAATTTCTTTTAGTAGTTTCAGAAAATTAAGAACACCCCCCTTGAAAAAATTCTGCTTACGCCCCTGCTCTTTAATTAAAGTTTTCCTGGAAGAGAAATTCGTATCAAGGTTAAGCTTGACTGATGGTAGACAAGCAATTCTTTTTCCTATAAGGAAGTGTGCAGGAGCAGTCAAAGCACATAGTTCCTCAGCATCAGTCCCAATATAAGTTATTGGACGTGAGTTCAGAATAGCTTCTGTTTCCACCAGCAAAGTTTCTAGTTCGTCAAAAGTTAGCGAAGTTTTTCCTATAGTCTTTCACAATGCAGTTTTTACCGATCGAATTAGTCTTTCGTAAAAACCACCCCACCAAGCGGCCTTTTTTACAATATATCTCCATGTAATTCCATGGAGAGCGTAGAATTTTTGAACACATATTTCTTTCACGCACGGGCTAGCTCGCCAAGAAAGATATTTAAACCAAGAATAACAAATCTTGGTATATATATCTTTCTTTTCAGAAAAATTGTTTATGAATAAGCACTTAAAATTTATGTAGGCGCTCAAATTGGTTATGATGTTTTTAATCCAGTCTTCCTCAATGAAAAATATTATTTACTAGATTTAGTTAATCTTTTTGCTTTTAACTCGCTAAAATATTACTTTGCAACCCCCAATGCACTTATTAATTAGCATATTTTAGTCACCCCCTCGAACTATTAAGACTGAGTCCCAGAACGTGAAGATCCGATCATTAGATCGAAAGTTATTCAGGACGGCCCTTTTTTTCTTTTGGCGCATTGTACATAATTTTGACAAGAAATTGGAAAATATATGTATTGTCTTCCAGTCAATAAACAATATTGAAGGGGGAAAAAATAATGAGAAAAATGCTATAAATAAAGAAAAAAAATAATGAGCGAAAACTATAAACAAAAAAAAAACAAAAAAAAAAAAGAAAAGAAAGAAAGAAGCAAAGTAAAAAAAAATGAGCGAATTGCTATAAACAAAAAATGAAGAAAAATATAAAGAGCAAAATTATATAAATAAAAATATATAGATGAAATAAAAAAAAACAGCATAAATCAACTAGCGGTATCTGTTCATTGAATTCTATCACAAATAAAATTCTGGAAGGGTAGTAACGTAGCGTAACTACCAATATAAATATTAAAAACCAGTGACTAATTTATAAAACACGTTATCATTTTAAGAGATGATTAATGGGTTTAAAATCGCTTAGTAGACAATTTTTAAAAACAGAGTGGTGGAGATAGAAGGGTGCCTAATTTGCAGTAGCTAAGATCCCCTCAATGCGGGCGTCATTTTTAAAAATCTTGTTTAAAATAAAATTTGTGGAAAACCTCTCATGATTTTGAGCTTTCTTTTAAAAAGTTCAAAAACTACTTAGAAAATTGATTGAAACTCTTTATATTTTTAAGATATTCAAAGATTTTAAAATATTCAGACTTTTTTTATTAGTTGCTAAATATGATTCCCCATAAAATTATAAAAAAGATTCTTTTTAAATTTTTTTAGTGCATGCACTGTATAAAACTTTAAATAGTCATATCTTGCGCGATTTTCAACAATTTTTTTCAAGTTTTAAAACAATAATTTTGTAATTATTTTTTAATTGCTAAAAAAATTGTGTTTATATTGAAGGAATATTTTTAAAGTTATAGCAAAAAAAGTAGGACAAAAAAAAATTAGTCTTTTATAAAAATGCCCATATCTCTATAAATATTTAAGAAACTTCATGCAGTTACTGCAAATAACAACCAAAGTAATCGGTATAAGTTACAAGCTTATTGCTTGATTTTCTCTGATAGGGTGTTCAAAATTTATTTGCTTTCTTTCATTACTTATTGTCGGTCCCTGAAACCTCCAATAGTTTCAAATCTTATTGATAAGCATGAAAAATCGCAAAAATAATTACCACTAAAATTACAAAATAATCCTCTAAGTATGTTTTTAGAAATTAAAAAAAAATCAAATCAAAAACTGAGGGTCTTTTCCATTATTGTTGGGTAGTGCATATAAAACTTATTAATTGTGCAGAGAAGTTTTCAAATGCAGGCAAAATTAAACAAACTAAGTTCAACTTAATTTGTTATCTGGCTGGGATTTCTGGGTTGGAAGCTATGAACTTGCATTTAGAATGTAAAATCAAGAGTAAATGTTATAACAACACGTAAGGTGAAGAAGTATGTATGAAGTGTTTTGTAGTTGAAATTTGTTTTTTTTTTCCCCTTTAGAATTTTCAATTAGATTTTTCTCATCTTCTGATAAGTTGCATAAAAATTTATATTTTCTCTTTAAACTCAGATTCTAAAAATTTTACAATTTAAAAAACCACCTAAGTAAAACGGAACTTCCCTTCAATTTCTTAGATATTTTTTGAAAAACTACTTTTCCTCTTAAGGATTTAGCTAAAAAAATTTTTTTGAAAGAAGTTTCCATATTTTAAATTTTTTATAAAAAATCTTCTAAAAGTATTTATTCTAAAAGCATTTAATTTTTTTAAAAATCCTCTTTTAAAAAATTGACACCTTCCACTGAAAAAAATTTACCTAACTTGTAGAATGTGCTTTAGAACTCCTTATGACACTTATTGTTATGGTTATTTTTCTTTATAGAATTAATATTTATTAAGAAATTTTATACCTTCCATTGAAAAAAAAAAAAAAAAAAANACTGAGTGTCTTTTAACTAACTTGTAGCATGTGCTTTAGAACTCCTTATGGCACTTATTGTTATGGTTATTTTTCTTTATAGAATTAATATTCATTAAGAAATATTACACCTTCCATTGAAAAAAAGTTACCTAACTTGTAGCATGTGCCTTAGAACTCCTTATGGCACTTATTGCTATGGTTATTTTGCTTTATAGAATTAATATTTATTAAGAAATTTGTTCGCAAAACATTTCAGCTGATTGTTGCTAGCATTTACGAGGGTTAACAGTTTTAGCTTAGCTAATCTCTTAAAAACTAAAAAAGTATAACACTGAATTGAATCGACATTAAGAAATGAAAGTAATTTATTTATAAATACAGTTCAGTGAGAAATGATAGTGAAATATTGCATTGAAATTAAGGAGTACCACTCCTGTCCTAGAAGTTCCTTTGTCATCTGAGTCACTTTTTAAAGCAAGCATAAGTGCATCAATCTATCTCCAAAGAGGGAAATTTCATTTGCTCTTCAAGCCATTTTGCTGCAGTTAGAAGTTGCCGTTCTCCAAAGGGCTGACCAATGAGCTGGAGACTCAAGGGTAGTTCACTTTTGGAAAGTTCACATGGGACACTAACAGCAGGCAAACCTACAAAAAGATAAAAAGGTTTGAAGCAAAACATCAGTAGTAATATTGGATAAAAACTGTAAATAGGATTTTAAACCTGAGTATTAAGTCAAAATCAAACTATAAATAACTTATGATCATCCAATATCGCATTCATTCTAAATGTCACGTCATAATTTTAAAAAAATTTACCAGACAAATTTCAATAATTAATACCATGACTGACAATAAAAATTTAATTGACAATATGCGAGCGACAATATCATGACAAACATGGAACATGATAAAGTTGATGGTATTAACAAGACTAATAATTATCAAAAGCGATAAAAATCTAACACAATGTAATATCGACAGCGATATTATCGTGATCAGTATCCACAACAATAAAAATATAAGATAATAATGTGGTGAGAATTACTGACAGTGATGAAATCAAGAACAATATTTAAATCAATAAAAATCAAATCTCAATATTAATGATAAATATTAATCACAATATATCATGTAACATTGATATTTCCTGGAGTTGTAACCTAAAATTCCCAAAGTTCCAAAATCAGACACACAAATATAACTAACCTGAATAAACATATCTATTTTAATGGATTTGAATTTTTAACTTCAAAATAATGGAGGAAGCCACAATACAGAAATTATAATCTCATTAGCCTATTCTGGAGAGCAGTATGAAATTTGTTTTTGCGTATTCTGTATTATTTCTAAGGAACTAATTACACGAATCACTTTAAAATGCATAAGTTTAACCAGTTTAAATATCATAACACATAAAAAAAAACTTGTTATAAATTTTTTTTTGCAGGTTTATATCCAGTTTTTAAGCCAATAATCAACCAAAAATTATAATTTTCAAATAAAAAACTGATGAAAAAAAAGTGATTTCTTACCAGCCATATTTACAGACTGTGTACAAAAATCGTCTACAGCGTTATGTTCCCGATTGTCGATTTTCGTCCATTCTGAATAAGGCGCAGCTTCGTTTAAAGTGACTGGAGTCAATAGCAGATCTATTCCACCATCAAACACAGTTTTGAAATCATTAAAGATGAGTCTTCTGACTTTTGCAGCTTTCAAGAAATATTTTTCATAATTTCTGTAATAGAATCCAGATTGATTTCATACTTATATCTAAAAATTACATTGATAATTAATTTAAGAATTAATTCAAAATGCATACATATGCTGAAAGACAAACACACACTGGTTAATAAATCAGAATAAGGTCTGCGCATAGTAATATTTTACAGGGTGTTACACAATGACTGCCATTAATATATACTTTTAAACCGTTGTCAAAAAATAACTGGTTCTGTTGTGCTGGAACTGTTTCTCTTAGTTGCTATATTTCTAACAAGTGCAATTTTCAAACGATTTATTTTCAATTTTGACAAAATCACAACAGATATAGTTTTTGTTGCAAAGAGGGTTTTCAATTGGGTTAACTGGTTTTGAATAATTTATGAGAATGCAAAATATTTTTTGCCATTTTTTTTAAAAATTTCTCTTCAAAGCACTGCCATTTTGTGAAAAAAAATCTAATTTTTTAAAAATCCTCATTTCAATGAAAATTACATTCATGTAGTTTAAAAAAATCAAAACAGAGTCAAGTTTAAATAATTTTTTTCAACTTATAAAATAGCAATTTATGGATAGTTAAAATAAGTTTTAAACATTGTTTTATACAAGCACTAGTTTTTTTTAAAATTTAAGTTTTTGTATTATTAACATGATAAAAATGTAGATCAAAATATGTACAATAAGATAAAAAAAATGTATTGAGTTCATCTCAATTTTTGCAAAATTCATTCAAAACAGTTCTTTTCACAAGCTTCTACTGTGTTATTCCCTCTCAAATAGATATTAACGAAACATCCTGTATGTATTTAACAAGAAATTAGTCACAATAATGCCTAACCAAGTCATTATATCAAAAGAAACATCTGAGATACATATAACATAAAATTAGATATTGATATTTTTTTCATTAGTCAATGACTTAGCAAGATAAATAGTCAATTCAATAGTCAAACAGTAACGAATGTAAGATTACAAAATTGGCCTGATTATTTTCTAAAAACAACTTTTATCCAATAAATGACCAAGGATACTATGCAACATGAAAACAACATTTTCGTGAAGGAAAGTGCTAATTCTAATTTTTCTAAAGCAAATCACTCAAACAAAACTAACTTACTTTCGAAGTAAAAAGAAATTTCCTGATAGAATCCTTTCTCTCACCACATCACCAAAACCTTCACGTCTTGTAACAGCATAGGGATGATCTGAATCAGTTTTCTTCTCAGTCATGCGATGACCTGAAATATCATACAAAACTATTATTGATTGAAGAGTTTAAAATTTTTCTATGCCAGCAGTTTATAAGCAATAAAATATAGTACAGTTGAACCTTGATCCCTTGTTCCAGCATCAATCATTTCACCTGTATGTTTCGTGGTTCCATCGCAAAGGCTATTCTTAAAAAATTAATAATACTTGCTTGGATTGTTTTAAAACAAGCAGATTCCTGCCCCTACTGATCAAAAATTCTATAGACGCTTAAAAATAATAATAAATATTGATGTTAGACTAAAGCAAAAAACGTAAATAAAGTACAAATTAAGTACAGCATTTCTGTACTTGATATGTGCTTTATTCACATTATTTTTCAATTTAGTCTACGAAGCGTAAAGTAAACTCCATTCATTTGCATATTGAAGTTTAATTTTTTCTGAGATGAGAAACAGTAACTCCTGAGGCAATGATAAAGAAAATGTGGATTTGTTGCAGTTAGGGCAAAATGCCACAAATAACAGGTTTCATATTTATGTATCAGTTGATGATAATGTTGAAACTTGTTGAGTTGTCGGTTCAAGAAATGGTTTCAGAAGCAGAAGAAGTGTAAAGTTACACCAATAAAGACCTAACTGAACACACATTTGCAGAAGGCTTCGGATCCTTTAAAGAAATGAGAAACTTTTAATATTCCCACAAACTTTCAGAAAATGAACAGCAATCTGAAACCAATGCGAAAATTTAATGCTTGTGCTGAGATGAAAATGACCCAAAATTTCTGTATATTTTAAATAAATAAATATATTTATTTATCCTTCTTTTGCACAGTAAATATTTTTACATGAAATACATAATTTTTTCTAATTAAATTTTTCATATATATTGTAAATTTGTTAATTTTTGTGTCATTATTTGATAGTTTAAATTGACCCGCATTAGTTGTTTCCCCATATCTATTGTTTGTAATGAATTGTCCCTCGAGAAACGAATGACCGAGGTACTACTTTATCATTATGCCTTGAAATATCAATTGTAACTATTGTTAATTTTAAAAGGCTAAATATCAACATTTGATAAGTGCTAAAATACAATATCCTAATAAGCATTTTTATAGCTCACAGCAACTTCTGAGAGTGGACTACATATGTTGAAATAATAGGATGTCATATAAAGGTTCAATGTGCTCCATTCTAACCTCTGTCCTAGATACATTTATTTTAAGAAAAATGAGAAAATACTTTTTGCATTAGAAATGCAGATATTAAGAAATATACTTAGAGTAATAAAGAGTAAATGAAGAGTGGTATAGATGAATAAACTTACAATTGTATGGGAAATATTTAAAACCGGACATCATTATATTCAGGGGTGATTGTGAGCCCAAGTCAAAGTTCCGGAAAATTTCTTGAGTAAAAAAAAAAAATTTAAAAAAAGTTTAAATCAAAAAATTAGAAAAAAATTTAAACAAGGTTTTTTTTCTCCCTTTTCTCAATATTTCTTAGTTTACTTAAAATATATTTAAAATTTTACACATACCTATACCATTTACACATACCTATGATGACCTGGAGAAGTAATTGAAATTTACAAATATGTCTTTCTTTCTTGAGTTTATGATTATAATACCTATTTACTGATAAAAAATGAATATTAATCTAGAATATTAGTTTATCTGGCTCTCCCTTACAAACAAATAAAATAAACTGCGTTTTTAAGTTCCACCTTTGAAAATTTGATTTCCGGAAACTTTTGTGATCAATGATTTTTTGAAATGTCTGAACTTTCGATCTCCGGAAACTACCGGATCACGGTTAGCGAAAAATCCGAAAATTCCGTTTTTTTCCGGAGTACAATCAGCCCTGTATATTGCTTCAAGAATAAGAATATATCATTTGTAAAGCCCATAAGCTTTGACCTTTTTTAGGCTGTAAATTTAGTTTTGTAGTTTAAAAAGTTCTCCCGAAATCTGATTGTGGGCAGCAACTTACAATGGCATGGGAAATATTTAGAATCAGACATCATTATATTGCTTCAAGAATGAGAATATGACATCATTTGAAAAGCCTGTAAGTTTTGACCTTTGAGGTTGTAAATTCAGTTAAGTAGTTTAAATTGTCTGCCCCAAACCTGATAGTGAACAGCAAGAATTTATTTACAGTTTAAGCAAATAGTTAACGAGGTTAATCTCTAGCATTAAATAAGTACTAAAATTAAAAACTGATTAATTACCATAACGTATTCCATCATAACGAGCAAAATTTGATGCCACATCACAACAACAGAGAACTGAGTAGCACATAATGGAATATTTAGTGTGGGGCAGTGATACGGTGGATACTTTGGCACCAGCATTGGAAAATTTGTCTGCTACATTTCTCCAACTTTCGATCACTTCAGGTGACATTCCTGGACATTCATATTCCTGAAAGTAAGGAACAAACATGATACATATTATTAACAAGCAAAAAGAAAAATAAATAACAATAATTAAAAAATTAATTTTCTTTCTTTTTTTATATGGTTTTTAAAACAAGAAACTCCCATAAAAATGCTTTTTAAAAAAAAACTGACAGTCATTTTTCAAAAATAAATACTGCTTTCAAAAGTAAAATTTACAGAAAAATGTGCAAAAATTTTTTGATTGTTGAAAATATAATTCTGCTAGTTCTTCTTGCTGTTTTAAACATACTAAGTGTATGATCTTGTAATCTCTTTTTTCTAAAAATCTTCCACAGTTCTAAGTTGAATGGTTTATAAATAAAACATTGTTGAAAAGATTGCAAGCAAACCTCTTAAATATGAGGATGCTTCTTCTCTCTCTATTTTGCTCCATATATTTCATTAGTAATAAACTCTTGGTAATAAATCAAGCCAAGATAGTTTACCAGTTAAGCACCAAGGAATCATTAGAAGCACTAAAGATTCTCTCGAGGGGGTGGGCAGATGAAAATTGGACCGGGAATGAAACATATATATATACAGGGTTCATGCTCTACTTTAGAAATAAAATTCAAGTACTTTTCAAGGACTTTTTAAGACTTATTATAAAANATATATATAAACTAAAGATCCTCCCTTGCATTAGGATAAGTTGAAAATAACTTCTTGTATATCCTGTAAGTTTTGATATACCTGTCATTAGTTTCAAAAGCTGTTAATTTTGAAATTAATCAGTTCTACTCTACTAACCTAAAAGCATATTTATATTCAACCAAAACTTGCTAATAAAAAATTCATTATTGGTCATAAAAACTGCCCCTTACATCAATTTGCAATAAAAAAAGTGAATAAAATACAAATAGTTTTATGATTAGTATCAAGAACATATCATAATACAGAGAGAGATCATATAGAGTGAGTCAAAAAATAAACTCAGGACTTTCTGATAAAAAAGAGAATTTCTGATTCTAAAAGGGGAATCCCTGAAACAAAAGTAGAAAACTTAAAATAAAGCCTAAAGGTAAAATAGTCATAAATGTTATTTAAAAAGTTAATTTATTTAAATGCAGTAAAAATAAATTGTTTAACTCATAAACACGTTATTAAATCATTATTTAAAGAGAAATACAGCTAATATATAAATTGTTGTATTATGACTCCCAGCTAAAACAAAATTTGCTTTAGATTATTTAAATCAAATCAGATATGTTAGTTTCCAAGACATAAGCTTCTCACATTTTATGCCATAAATTAAATATAATTAATTTAACTTAATTTACATGTCCTGGTACATTTCACTTAGCTTATGTTAAATGTTGGAAGTTATTAATGAACTAACTTAACACTATGATAAACTAAATATATCAAATATATCAAAAAAAATTAAAAATCAGTGAAAATACAGCAACAAAACTTTTTAACACAACAAGCTTAGCAAAGTTTGCATTGTTAGAGCCTTAGTAGCACTAAAACTTTATTAATAATTGAAAAAATACAATTTATAATTTAAGTTAAGAAAAAAAATTGTTTAAGAACTCACATTAGGTATTCCAATATGAAGATGTCGTACATCCACATTGTCTGGAATCGTAAAAGGTGAATAATGTTTACTTACAGTTGTTGAATCATAAATATCTGGGCCAGCTAGATTATCTTAATAAAGAAACAAAATAAAAATTATTATATTTGGTTTAAGTTGTCATAATAAAATAACTTTTAAAACCTAATACTGATTCATTATAACATAGTTTTAATCAAATTTCAAAATAAAATCCTAATCAAAAATTCATATTAAATAAGTATAAATATTTTTAACATATAAAAGTAGTAAAGTAAAGGCACTTAAAAATGCGCAAACTAAATATTTTTTCTAATTATTTGTAAATTATGCATACATTTAAGCATGCAATTAACAACAGTATACCAAAGGTTTTATTCATTTGTTTATAAAACACAAATACATTAACTGATATCAAATTAATACCAATTTAATATAACTTGTTATGTCACGTAACTATATACATCATATCAGGTTATAATAAATCAGGATTAACTGATTTAAGAAAAGTCAATGAGAAAAAGATTTCAAGAACAAATTTATAATTTTACAGATTTCTTGTTAAAATTTTTTTTATTTAATACCTGATCAAAATAATATTCTGTAACAATAATAAAAAAATATCATTACATGAGCTGCAGCCCACAGCCAAACATTTTGTGACACATTTAAAACTATATAATAAGGTCAAAACAGGTAGCTTCAAAAAATTTCTGTAAATATGTGATGGGTTGTAATGTTTGTTTGAAAATATGGCTGTGATATCTTTAAAAACTTTAAAATTAATGTATACATTCAGGAAGTTAACATATACATTAATGTATTAGGATGCCTGTGGGACAAGTCCTGCAGGATTGAAATTCAGAAACTAAAAGAATTCTTCTCTTGTAAAATGAAGGTCTTGTACTGATAACTGGATCACATAACTTCCTTCTCTGCTCTTTCTGCCACACACATTACTCTTTACTTCAAAACTTTCCATTCAAAACATATGATAAGGGGCAGTCTATTTAGAAAAAAATAATGAGCTTCCTTAGTTTTTGCTCTGTATTGAATCATTTATCAAAAAAGTGTGCACCTCACGCAATAAGTATTTAAAAGATCGTGCTTAAAAATAAAGCTCTGCAGAATTACATGTAAGAAAAGTTTTTTCAGTGTACGGCAAGATGGAAAACCATTATGATATGCCATAATGATTTCGTAAATTGGAAGACTGCATACAAAAAACTTTGATCAATATGAAATTGGTACTAACTGTTTGTGATAAAGAATTTGATCAAATTGCTATGATTGTATATGCACTGTAGACATTTATAATAGCTTTCAAATGATTTTTTTCCCTATATGATGTTCACAGCTGATGCGATAAAGAGATTCTTGCTAGGCAAAACTTATAATTAGAAGTCAGACTTTAGAGAATATTTTAAATTTGTACGAAAACTTGCATTCAACAGAAAAGAACAGAGTAGTATTTTGCAGTATTTGCATATCCCTCTAAAGTTAGATGATCACGAAACAAACGTCTATAGAGTTTACAAGTGTCTAAAACACAATCAAGTAAAAGAAAATATCAAAAAACTATATCTGTGACTGGAGGATACAAAAATGACAGATTATGCCAACACATTAGATGATGAAGATAGAAATAAAAAAAAGACATTGAAAAAGGAGAGATTGAAGATGATGAGGCAGAGACATCATAAAAAAAATGAATTTAAGTTAGTCACTCAATATTGCATGGTTCCCTCAGAGTTCTATTCAAGGAATAAATTATGATGAAAAAGAAATTTACACCATAATAAAAGAATGAGTCTATTAGAAAGTGGTATACTTTAGTCTCTTAGAAAGAGGTGCAAAAGAGTACTACTCGAAACTGTGTATGGATATTTATTATCAATAGAACTAATAATAGAGGCACCAAAATCTTTTCATTCGATGCTTGATTCTCTACTAATATTTGATCCTCAACTAGGAGACAAGTCATTGGATATTAAATATTTTGAGTTATTTTTAGCATTAAATAAATAACTGTTGTTTTTAGGAGCCATAATTTTCTTGGTATTGTCTTAACAAAAGATTAAATTTTCATATTACATGCAAATCTTTTGATCTTTTTCTCTGTTGAAATTTGGAACTTATTAAATTAACTCCGCGTTTGAATGGAATGCTTCATTGAAGCGAGACTTGTCAATTGCAGTATGCCACAATCCAGCAGTATTTTTTTAAATATAAATAACCACCTTTAAACAGCATATTAGTGCACAAGTGTAACACTAACTGTAAAAGTAAATGCTCTAAATCTAAATGTTAAAAACATAAGAGAAAAAACAAAATTTAAAATTAATTATCTTAATAATAACAAAGAAATCATTCGGCAGAATATGAATTGAAAAAAAAATCTTCAAAAAAGCTGATGATTAAAAACATGTGAATTTTAAAATCCAATATGCTTACTCAATAATAAAACAGCATCATCAACAGATCTGGTTAAAATTCCAGGAACATCTAAAGAGTTACAGAGTGGTATAAGTCCGTTACGAGAAATTAATCCATAAGTGGGTTTTAATCCAACCACCCCACACATGGCAGCTGGACTTCTTGTTGAGCCTCCAGTATCAGAGCCAATAGCTCTAAATAATAAAAATAATAGTAACCACTTCAGCTAACTGTAGTGAAATAGAAAATGAAATTTGTACAATTAAATTCTTAGAAAAATATACTTTAATGAAATATTAACTTTTAAGAAACTAATGCTAAAGTCTAAATTTTGCTTAAGGTTTCAAACTAAATTCAAAAAAAAATTTTCATACATTATTTCATTCAAATACATTTTCCCTTGACATCTTACTGATACAAAATATTTTGAAAAACTCTGAATAGAATTTTACATCCTGCATTAAATTAAAAATATTTTATTGACAAAATATAAATTTGAAAAGCAATTGAATTAAAAATAAACTTACAAAAAATTATTTTAAAAGGGCACAAAAGACATTTTGGGAGCAACTGATTTAAAAACAATTATAAAATTTAGGGAAAATAAATTTTAAAGCTAATTATTAATTTTTTAACATACTTTTAAAAAATTAGGTAAACCAAGATATTCTGGTAAGGATTTTGGTTTTTATATGGAACCACAGATACATAAGTAAATTTTCTAAAATATTAATTATAAGTCAATTAAGGAATTCAAAATAAAAATTATTGAAATTCTAATTACCACAGTGAACTCAACAAATGTATTATTATTATAGTCGTAAAAAAATCGTAGGTAATTAAAGGGTTACAAAACTAAAAACAAATGAAAAACACACACTAATTAATAAAAATAACATGATAATGGACAGCAAATAACATAAAGACAATATTACCCAAAACACATCCCAGATGCTACGGCAACAGCAGCACCACCAGAACTTCCACCAGCAATAAAAAAATCATCATCTTTCAATGATAAACTATCTGGAAAGTCATAGTCAGCCTGCTTCCTAACTTTGTAATTCAATCTAGATCTCCATGGATTCTTTGTTGGTCCAAAAAAAGAGTCAACAGTAGCTGATCTATGTGAAAAATTTAACAATAAGTATAATTTACTTAATATTTTAAAAAAAATTTACAAAAAAAATATAGTGTGATACATATTTTGTTGAACAAGAATTTTTTAATAAGAAAAAAGTAAAATAAAATAAATAAAGAAATATTTCATTAATTTTCGTAAATATTGCAATAAATAAAAACTTTTAAAGATAATTCAGATATTGTGCCAAATGTATGGATTAGAATAAGCTAAAATACATTATATATATTTTGCTACAGTTTGCTCTAGAATGGGTATGAGTTATAATACCCTTTGAGTACGATTCCTTCTGCAATATTTTTCCTTTAGTTCCTCTCTTAATATTGCCCCATTGTCACCAAGGTTTTGCAACTCTTTTGATGCAGGTATCTATGAAGAAATTACCCCCAAAATTTTTTTATTGATTAGCAAGAGGGAAAAGTGGTTTTTAAGCAGCGAAAAAGGTCATATTTAAGCATTATTTGAATAAAATAAATAAAGAATGTTTATTAATGTGAGTTAAATCTTTCTAGCAAATTTGTTGAGTGGTCCAATTAATTTAAGCTGATTAAAAGGTACTTACATTTGTCCTAAACTAAACAATGCACAATTTTAGTACAACTGACATGGCAACCGTATTAAACAGTGGCATAATTAGTACCTTAACCCACTGGCGGTTAAGGAAATGGGCAAAATTGGGAGAATGTTTCTCCCCTACACACAGTTCCCCTATCAGTTAACATGGGAAAACCGGTTTTGCTATGCAGAGAAGACTGCATGTTAAAATGCGACTTTTTACGTGCAGAACCGTCAGTGGGTTAATGCTATATCTTCAGGTAAAAGAGGTATGCTAGAGACAAGAATGAAATCAAATTTAAAGGAGGGTAGTGATTGTATTTTTTGTTCTCCCATTAGAACCTTTACTTATAAAAATAACTAAAATTTTTTTTTAATAATAAATATTTAAGATTTGATTTGTACAGCAAAAATACACACAAGAAGAAGATTATTTAACTCCAAAGTTGGAGATACAATAATTACTTACCCCATTGCAAACTCATCGAGATTTGTTTTCCCCATTAGACAAATTCCTTTGTCATAAAGCTTTTGTACAACAGTGCCATTATAAGGTGCAACATAATTACTCAACATTTTAGAGGCACAAGTTGTCCGAATATCCCTGGTACTCCAGTTGTCCTTAAAAGCAATAGGAATTCCATCCAGCACTCCTAATGAATGACCTTTAAAATAAGATTAAAAAATTACTGTTAAACTTATATAGTTCTTACAAACAAAAACTTATAGAGTTTTTTTAAAAAAAACAAAAAAACATTAAGGTAAAAAAGTAGAATTTACATCAAATGAAGAGATTTACAAATGAAGAAGAAAAGTTACATCAAATGAGTTATTGATAAAAAAAATATTGATACTGATAAAAAAAGAAAGAAAATAGCTATTAGTCAGAGTTTGTTGATTTAAATCAGCTTAATTTAAAATAAATGAATTTTCTTTTTCTGAAAAAGAATGATCAAATAAAAAAATTTCAAAGTATATTAACATAATTTTTAAAATTTTTTTTTTTATAGATTTTCATAGTTTTGATAGATTTTTTTGTAAAAATATTACTAAGATTACTTATTAAATATTATTTTTTGTAAATATTTCAATTAGTAAAATTGCATTAATAACTTAGTGGGGAATAATTATCAACTGCATTATAAAAAATTAAATTTTAGAAGTCTTACAATACTTTCAGATTTCTTTAGAATGTAAATTAGTAATAGAATGAAAATTTATTGTAGTTATTGAATATGAATTTTCTTAAGTTTAGCGGAAAAAAAAATTGGTAAAATGAATTTTGTTTCTTTTGGCCTGTTATTGAAGGAGTTAATAAGGATAAAATTGTGTTACATTTCAGCACCATTTTTAATAAATTTGACACACACATTTAGATACATTAAACAATATTTAATGCAGTAACACTGCTATGATATATTTTAAATAATTAAAGACTATAACAATAAATTGTGAAAAATTTTTTTGGAAAAAAAATTATGAGCCATGGTATTAGTTGATAAACATTATATTGATGGCGGTGGTGATGTGTGTGTATATATATTTACATAATGTATTGTAAGTATATGGTCATCCATGTGTTCATGGACACACTGAGTCCTCAAGATATTGGGAAGCAAGAGAACTTTTAAGGCAATGACTTCGGTCTTCTTTCTTTGTTATCCTACGTACATTTGTATTTGTCATTTATTTCATCTTTCTATTTGTACCTTTTGCCTTGCCATTAGAAATAAAAAAAAAATATTTACATAATGCTCTCATACAGCAACAAGCAAATGGAAAAGTAAAAAAAGCTACTTTCAGTTCGAAATAGGAAAATTATTAAAAATAAGTTTTTATAAATATTTTTCAATACCAAAACTCCACAACCTTTTACCATTTACTAAGGGATGAATACTTAACAGTTTGCAATTGGATGGCACTTTTTTTTTGTTGAAAAATTTTAGCAATTTACTTTCACAGTACTAAATAAGGTTACGGATACTTTTATATGAACTATTATATTTATGGTACTAAAACTGCATACCTTCACAAATACGTTTCTGGGACTGTTCAGCTTGTTCTAGAGCTACATTTTCTGTTACAGTAATAAAAGCATTTAAATCCTTTGCTTTCTTAATTCTGGCCAAGCATAAATTTAACAGTTCCTTAACTGAGATGCTTTTATTTTGAATTAATGGTGAAATCTGGAGAAAAAAAATAATACAGATTAAACAATAACAGACATAAATTGACTTCTTTCATAAATAGAAATGTTTTTTGCATTGTTTTATGTTATAGATTTTATGTTTTACAATATAGATTTAAAAAAGAAAAGAAAACTCGAAATCTTTATTTCAGTTTGATCTCCCTATAGTGCATTTCTTCTTTTTTCAAAGCCCTACAGCCTGTAACAGGCCAAGGCCGTTCCAATAGTCTTTGCCCTCTGGTCCCCTCCGTAAGACTCCTCATGTTTCTTTTATTTAGGATATGAAATCTTTTTCCTCCAAGTCAAGCCACTTAATAGGTGGTCTTCCTTGTTTCTCAAGGATTAACAAAAGTAATCTTTTTTACTGGATAAGTATTATCAGATCAGGATATCTGAGCCATTATAGCCTATAGCATTTTATGACTGGAAGAATATCAGGTTGCTTGTACTTTTAGTTGATTCCATTAATTTATTCTGTTGATTCCATTAATTTAAAATATAATAAACATTAAAAAAAATGGATTTCTTTGAAAATCAATTTTAAATTTTTTGTGACAAAGCTAAAAGTTTAAGTTTAATTACAATGACTTTATAATTACCATACAAACTTAAAAACTTCCCTAATTTGGGTGATAAAAAAGAGCAGAAAATTTCTTAATTAAGACACTTTTTAAATAAATTTTTTTGAAGGTAAGAAGTGATTTACAAGGTGTGAAGGTAAGAAGAAATTACAAGATAAAGAACAATATTTACCTTAGTAATTGGCATAGAAAGATACGATGTCATCGTCACTATTTCATGAAAGTTTCTATGTAATGAATAAATTATCACTGTAGCTTCTGTAAAATAAATGGTAATTACTTTAAAATAAGAATGCAAATAAAGTAATAGATATAAATAAGAATTTCAAATTAATAATGAGAATAAAGATAAAATAATAGATATAAATAGGAATTCAAAATTAATAATAAAAATTAAAATCTTCTTTTATCAACTTTTAACTTGAGTTTTGTAAGAAGTTGTAATAACAATAGAAAAAAATTAGAGAGATCAGATAGGTTACTGACGCCCGGTGGCTGAGCGGTACCGCTTTGCGCTGTCGTGCCACAGGTCCCTGGTTCGATCCTTGGGCCGGACAAGGTTGACTCAGCCTTTCATCCCTTCAGTGGGTCGATAAATGAGTACCAAGCATGCTTGGGAACTAAACACTGGGGGTTCTGCGTTTGGCTGACCACCTGACCGGAACATGTGCTCCTGCACCCCAGAGCCCAAAAAAACTGAGATGGGCACAGTAGGCCTTGGCCCTCTATGGGCTGTCACGCCGCTGAGTTAGTTAGAGTTAGATAGGTTACTATTAAAAAAAGGTCTTTTAATCTGTAGAAAAAATAGCAAGATTTATATTTGGAACTATCAAATATTTTTTAAGTAGCAATTTTAAAACTTTATCAACTCAATGTTGAGATTTTATGTACTGATTTCTTTTTAAAAAAAAACCCAGTTCAATTAAACTTCAAATAGAAAAATATTAAAATTAAAAAAGATATTTTAATACATGTTATCTTGTGCCATAAAAGAGTACATAATATTAAATATATAAGATACATTCAAATCTCAATTATGAGCATAATTTTTCAACACATGCCAGAGAACACACATTTATGGAAGACAATGATTTTGGCAGTTGTTTAGTATGAAGACAATGTAAATGAAAGTAATTTCGTTCTATTTGTATGGTAATTATAATTTTCTTGATAGCTTTACTTGCTTTCATAGGCAATTATAAAATATGATTATTATGTGATGAAAATTAACATAAATGCTTTGAGATATATAAACAATTGGTACATCATCTAAGTTCTAATATAAAAATATTACATCAAAAACTGATAAATAATCAAAATTAGTTTGAATTCACTTTTCAATATAAGAAACAAAAACATTCTAGAATTTAATTAATCCTTCAAGTGTGTTCTATTTTGTTAAAATGAAACTTTAAAGTTGCCAACATTTATACCCTCAAAATTATATCAGAAAAAAGGGAAAATTCACTTCAAAATCAACTTAAAAAGCATTTTTTTTTAAATTTTTGTTTTTCAGTTGGCATATTTAAGATAAAATAATTGGGTTTATCTGTCTATAGGCTGACTGGATGTTTATTTACTATGCCTATATGATGGAAATGCCCAAGGCATATACATGGCAATGCCCCAAGATTATATTTTCATAACAATCTTGAATAATCTAATTTTACAATAGTTCAAACAGGCAATAGTCCCAATAAGAGTATCATAAAGTATTAGCTACAAAACATAGAGAGAAAAAATTACTTACATGGAATTGAAGTGCAATAATCACCAACTCCAAATTCAATTATGTTGTTGGTGACAAAAAAATTCCAGTTCTGCAATAGTGTTTCAAGTAACTATTAGATGCTTCATATCTCTTTAAATGATGCCTCCAAGTTTTAATAATAACTAATAGATAATTCACGTTTCAACAACAGACCAAGCTTTGGTAACTAACAAAAAAGATCTTAGGAGAAGTTATTCTTACTTGCATTTTGTAACTATACATTATGATTAAATTTTTTGAGTGCAATGGAACTTGTACACACGTTCAGAGTAGTGAATAAAATGTTAATTGGGAAAAAAAGACAAGGCTCTGATTTAAATGTAAATTTTTAAAAAAGGAAAAAAGAAAACTGACTGAATGTTTTTATTATTGCCATAGCGCAAAATGATTTCAAATGTTCTACAACAAGACTTATTATGTTTATAAAAGTTCCGTGGTTATTTTTTGAAATAAACAAGTCATTCCTAATTAAATTAGTACTATTTTTTTTTTAAAATTAAGAATAATTTTATTTTGAAAAAGAAAGGAATCTTAATTAATATTAATTATTCAACTTATGTATAAATGCCAACTCAAAAATTATCCACATCTAAAATTTTCTTTAAGACTTGAACATAATTCTTTTAGGTGGACATAAATAGTTCTGTTTCAAACATAAGCAATTTTACAGGGTCTTAAGGACATATCTCATAGCTTTTGGTACTTATAATTAATAAATAATTTAATTTAATTAAAATTTAATAATAAGATTAAAATTAATAAAAAATAATTTAATTAAAATTTAAAAGCATTTTTTGTTGCTTTCAGTCTATTCTTTTGTTATTTTAAAATCATTTATTAATTCTTTTTAGGTCATCAAAATAAATAAACAAATAACTGTTTAAGAAATTAACCTTACAAATGTTCTATGTACGCTTAAATATGACATTATAATGATTGTTAGGTATCTGTTGTACATAATAACAATTATCTTTTATTTAATTAATTACACTGAAACTGTTTATCTATATCATCTTCGTAACAGATATTTTTAATTGACATTAATTAATTTGTTGGTTTTCAGTTACTTAAGATAGAACTATAAGATAAAATAAAGTTAAAAACTATCTTTAGTCTTCCTTTTAAAAATTCTTTTGGTTATAGTTATTAAATTTAATAAGAAATTTCATTTTTAAAGTGTTTGGTTGCTCTTAAATGTTTAATCACCAATTTATCTACAAAGTATTTCATGTGTAAAATCACAAAATAATTTCCCTTATATAATGCTACAATAAATTTCATGTCAAGACTGGATAAAAATTTTAATAATTTAGAATGATATTTTTTAAGAAGAATTCATAATAAACAAAATAAACTTTTGACCAAATTTTGATATTTTTAAATAAACCTTTAAATAGAATTATGCACTATAAAGAAAATTGGTTATTTAAAAATAACATTAATTATTCATGGTTAGAAATAAGTTTTGGATAATTTGTAATATACAGGAAACTTTCTACAAGATCATAGAACACAGTTTTGTTAACTTAGCAATTATTTGTTTTTTATTCAATAAATCTATGAATCATAGTAAGGAATAATAAAAAAAGTACTTTTTATTGTACAATATTTATATTGTAATCAATTTAACTTTAATTAGTTTAACCATAATAGCAGACAGATTTACACAAAAATGTTTTAACAGATACTTAAAAACTATTTTCTTTGAAAATCACTAGCTCTACACAAACTTGTCATTTTCCATTTATGTTGCAAGATTTTTTCCAGATTTAGGCATAATTTAAGTTTTTTTTTTATCAAACTAAGTTTGATGAATATTCCTATTCCTTTTAAATTGTGCAAGCTCTAAGGTATCTTAAACAAAAAAGTTTTCTTTTTATAACAGTTTGCTTTAATCCATATCATACAGGCAACACATACAAAGAGCGAGAATATAAGCAATATGAATACAATTACTCATATTCTCGCTCTTTGTATTTTGCTCGTATGATAAGGATAATTTTTTTTAAAAATCAGATTTTATAACCCAATTTTATTTATATTTTATTACCCATTTCATTTGTTTAAAATTTGTATTACAATCCCTTTGTTTCCTTCACCTGTTTGAGGAAATTCATGAGAGCACAAAGAAGAATGTTCTCTTAGAATGACATGAAGATGGGCATTATTTGTGGCTCTTAAAAGACTGAAAAGAATTGTATGATAACTCTGGTTTTCAGAAGGATAACACTAAAGAATGAATATTATTTGTGACTCTTAGAAGACTGATTTAAATGTTATCAACATAAATTAAGAAGAAGTACAAATGCTTGGAGAAAATTATTTATTTATGACATAATAATGAATATAAAGTCTAAATTTTTTAATAACAGCCTATTAGTCACAGAAACGGATATCTATAGAAACACTAGAATCTTATTTGCTAAGTGCAGTCATTCTAACTTTATCAACACAGTTCATAAAATCTTTAACTTCTTGAGAACAGTTTAATGGATACTTGGAATTTTCTCGGAAACATCTTTCTACTAGGACTTGCTTGTCCGGACAAACAGGAGCGAACGAATTTTTAACATGATTTTCTTCTATCTCATTAAGCATGGCAGCAAATTTCTCCTTCGCAGAGTCATACAGCACTTTGTTCTGAGTTTCCAACTCATTTATACGGTTATTCCATGATCTTTCCGCCTTCTTAAACTCTTCATGGTACTTTTGCCGCTGTTCTAGTGTAGATGAAAATGGTTCGGTAGGAGCAAAAGGAACAAATTTTTGGGTTGGAATTTCAGGAGTATGTTTGGACTCTGCTTCAATGGGTTTATGCCGCTGTTCAGGAGTTTTTTCAGGCTCACCCCTTAAACGCCTGACAACATTTTCGGAGACTTGAACTACTCCTACAACATCATCATTAGAAAATGTCACAGTTCGGTTGCTAGATGCATTGTTACCCATTTTCTTTCAATAAAATGACAACAATTTAAACTGCGTAGAGTGCTCAGAAATAGACAAAGTTTGCAGATTAATGATAAATAGCGAATAAAAGCACACTTACCAAGTTTATAGAAAATAAACAAACAAAATGATCTCCTTCAGATATCAAAAGTTGCCAGTTACCTTCTTTTGACATTGAAAGTTAACTGCCTTTATTGAAAAAAAATTTAAAAAAAAAAGATTTAAAATTAAAATCAGCAATTTCATATAAAAAAAATTTTCTTTTAAGATTAGTCGCCTGGTATGCATTATTTGTAAATAAAAAACAAGAATGTACAAATCGAAAATTGACAAGTTTTTCGCTGAACTGAAATGATGTGATGTTTGTTGTCTGTCTGATTTGAGAAGCCGGAGTTTTAAAACTGAGAATTTTCTGTTTTAATTTATTACCGTAGTTTGATGTAAAATCTTCTGATCATTTCTATTTTAATTTGAAATAAAAAATAGTAATTTAACTCATATTTTTAAGAAATATAACCTTCAATAAATTTTTATGTTCGACTTAAGTCGTTCTTCACACTATTGTCATTAACTATTTGTCATCCTTTATTCCAGTTACCAAAAATTTATAAAAATGATGCAAATAACTAGTCCAGATGCTACTGTTGCCTCGTCATGTTCTGCTTATAATTGTAATAATAGAATAGGTGAAATTATGGAAGGAGTAACTTTTCATCGGTAATTTTGGTTTTGACTTTTTATACCGTTTTAATCACTACTGTCAGTCCCAATTATTTAAACCTTACTGTCATAGTTACGGAAATATCGTTTATAAATGCAAACTTATTTTTATAGTTGAATTTGCTGCAGGCAACAATATACTTGATTTTATTCCAGCTATGATTTGTGCAATATATTGGATTGTTGTTTTACCGAACATCCCAGTTGCTCCTATTCACATCACAATCAGGGATCGTAAATATCATGATATTTTCGAAAATATCAAAAATATCCGATATTTTGATATATATCTGATATTTTGATATATATCCGATATTTTGATATATATTAAAATTTTTGTTTTATGTTTAGTATCTTCAATATAAATCAACTTTTTTGTTAGGAATTGTTTTGCAGACATTATATACACATTTAAAACATAAAATAATTTATTTTATGTAAATTCTAAATTCCTAATGTTAATTGTAATTAATAATTTTATAATTTTTATAAAATAAAACATTAGAATTTTTTTTTAAATAAAAAAAAGTTCTCTGAAACGAAATCTTTTGTAATCACCAAAATACAAAACATTTTTATTTTACTTTTACTAAGTTTTAAAACACATTTTTTCTTTACTTCTTGTTAAAATATTTGAACATAAAAGTAAGTTTTTCTGCCTTTTCAGTCCCTAATCTATTCCGCAACTTGGACTGAATAAATCCAAAGCTAGAGAATATTCTCTCTAACCCAGTTGTGGAAGGAGAGGCAGTTAGTAGTTGTTCAAGAAGACTTGTTATTCTGACTTTTAATGGTTCCTCTAACTTGATAGTTTCCCACCAAACTGTAGGTTCCCCATTCAGAAAGTAATCTTCGAACTTGAAGTCTGGAAAGGGGCGGCTCTTTTTGACCAAAAAATTCATAGCCATAGGTAAAATATTTTTTCAACAGAACGTAGGAAATTAAAAGCTCTTTGTGTTTGCTCGTCATATAGTTTTTTTCCACAATATCTATGGCATATTAGCAGCTAAATGAGCAGGGTTTAATGCCATTACTTCTCTTTCTGAGAACTTTTTCATCACATCTTTTTTTCCACATGCTTTTAATTTCTCCTTTAGTTTGCACCAGATTTCAATACATTGTGCTATTGTGCACTTATTTGCTTGAACTGCATCTAAAGCATTTGAAATCGGTTCTAAAATGCTTATATAATCAGAGTAATTTACCATTAAATCATTTACTAAATTATCTGCCTTGACCACTTACTCATCATAGGAAGGGTTTATTTCCTTCTTTAAAAGTGGGGGAATGAGAACAGGTTCAGTCTAAGAATGAATATTTAGTAGGGGGTTAAGTGGGAGCAGGTGCAATCTAAAACAAGATTTTTTATAGGAAGTAAAGATAGTGTGAATGGTAGCATAAGTTTGTGTAGTGATTAAAAGAAATCTTGAAATAACGTGGGGGATATTTTAGAAATTTNACATCGTTTTTAAATGGAAACGTATTTTATAGTTGAATTTGCTGCGGGCAACAATATATTTGATTTTATTCCAGCTATGATTTGTGCAATATAAGATTGTTGTTTTACCGAACATCCCAGTTGCTCCCATTCACATCACAATGGATAGCGTTTCTAGATTTCTAACACTTTTCATTAAAACTGTATCTGTGGCAGGGATTATTACTGTCTCAGCTCCTGGTAACTTTAAATGAGAAAATATCCGTATTGTTACAAATAATTAATTATCCGTATTTGTAAGATAAATGCTAAGTTCTATAAGCTATAAAAATCCCAAAAAGGGACCAATTCGAAGGGTTTAACTTGTAGCCACTTCCAGACGGGAGGATATTTCCATATTGTGATCTGCCGCACAAACTGCAATCACCAAATAGATTTTAAACTTGCAAATTTTTTAACAAAAATATGCTGAGGTTTGCTTGTAGTTATTATACCCTTTGAGTTGGATGTTTCTTTTTTAGTTTCCCATGGGTTGTTGCTCGGAAGTTGCCAAGACTTGGCGATTATTCTGCTGCAAATTGCGAAATGGAAGTCTTACCCCAGACCAGACGTACCTTAACATATATTTTTAAAATTTTTTGCAAGTTAAAATGGCAAATAGATACTGATTCAAAAATATCCTCTAATTAATTAAAATAAGGTGGAAGCTTAGAGGCGATTAAAAATTTTATCCTATCATTTTGTCCCATTGTATGTATATGTATTTTAGTGTCTTGCAGTTTTGATTGGGTGAAAACTTGTTAGTCGTTTTAGTACCTGATGTGATACAGAATTCATTTTATAAATAAAAAGAAAAGTGAAGAGAGGCTCTCTCACATCCTGTATATGTATATATTAGTATTAATTGGATCCAAATTTTCTGAACCTTACAAAATTGTAATCAAGAATTCGAATTTGCAATTTTAATTTCATAATTTGTATTGTTTTAAAATTAAAAAGAATATTAAATTTATTACCTGTACAATATCCCTCTCTCATTTACCAGTATTTCTTTCTATTCTGTTCCACTGTTTTTTTTTTCTTTTTAAATTTAATATTCTGTTCGCTGTGCAGATTTAAAACTGAGAATCTTTCAATTGGTCAGTAATAGGAACATGTATTTCGTCTAGGGATGGGGGGAGAGTAAGGGATGATTTGGTAGCAGTTTTTACCAAGGAAATTTAAAACACTCGAAATATCGAAGTTTATTTATTTATTTTTTTAAATTTAGACAAAATAAAATAATCTGTTTTTTTTTTTTAATTGTAAATTTCATTACCTAAATATTGAGTGAAAATTTGTATTCTTAGAAGGGGGTGTGTCCCATGATCTATAAAACGTCAGGGAGGCAAAACCCCCACGGTCCCTGGTCACTGTTGCATGGATAGCCGCCTTCCTTAAAGGGATGAATTCACTCAAAGGTTCGCAGCCAGTAAGTGGAGACCTTTAACAATGCAATCAGGGTGGGAGAAGTTTTTCTTCAGTTATTCAGGTAGTGCTGATCGGCTGTATGACAAGAAGTGAACTCTAGTCATGATGTGGGATTTTGAATTTTTATCCTGAGAGAATCATCGTCAAATATGGATAGGAATTTCTTTTTAGTATAATATTTCTTTCCAATCTTAAACTTAACCTATAAGAGCTTAGTTTTAAATTTACATTATGTTTAAACTATAACTATATATGTCTTGATTTTTCAATAATTGCCATTTCCGCAAACTTTCTGCTAAATTGTTAAAACTATGTAATCTAGAATCTTCTTATCCATTAATAAACTTAGAAACTGTAATTATGTTGACCATTATTTTAACCTAAATTAACTTTTACTAATTAATTCTTTATAACATTAATCTTTCTTTTTAGGTTAAACATCCTAGTTTTAATTTGGTGGCTCAAATCAATCTTAACTTATCTTTTTTTCCCCTTTTGTTGTATCTTAAATTTATATTATCAAAATGTTAATCATAATTAAAAGGTACAACAATTACAGTTTTAATCTCTTTAATCATGATTTATATAAGTTTACCAGTTTGTTGGACTGTCAACGTACACATATAATAAAAAGAAAATTTTAAATAAGTATGTAAATTATTTCAATGTTTCCTTTTTGTGCAAAATAATTTCATGTGCTTTTTATTCATTTTTTCCTGATTTTACTTAATAGGTATTTTCAGACTTTTCGTTCTTTTGCTACAATCATGTCTGAATTGTGAAGTTTCATAAAAAAAAGAAATATAAAAATTACTTACTTCTAAAAATATCGTTTGGCTATTAAGTCTTTCTAATGAATTGTTTAAGGTTGTTTTCACTTTAATGATAGAAAAACTCAGTATTCATATCAGATTTAAATAAAAAAAATATGTAAAGCAAATTATATATCTTGAATTTAAATTAAATTATTTAAGTTTATATGAGTGTTTAATTTTAATTACAAAGTTTAAAGAATAAAAGATAATAAAAATTCAACTTTTATAAAATCAGTCAAATATTTCGCTTCCTATTTTGAACTTTAAATACAAAGACATTTTTTTAAAAGATGTTCTGTTTTATATGGCTTACTAAACTTTCTAATCTTCTTATGTCTAATTTTATGGTTTTGTACTTCACTAAAATATATTTTTTCAGTAGTTATTTTCAATATTTTTAAAAATAAATAGTATTTGATTTTTAACATTGTTATTTGATAGGTTTCCATTATCCAAGCCTGAACTTCTGTCAAAGTGGTTGTCTGCAATGAGGAAAGACAAGTGGGTTCCGACTAAAAAGGATGTTCTCTGCAGTTTTCATTTCTCTGATGATCAGTTTGTAGAAAATAATGGATATCGAATTTTGGTTCCAAATGCTGTTCCTGCAAAATTTGAAGTTTTGGCGCCCCCAAAGGTTTGTCTAACCTGCTGATTTTCCATCATCACAAGCTGAATTTTTATTTTTATTTTTTAGATTTTCGAAATTATGCTGTTTTTTTTTTCCCTTTCTTTTTTAAGGTAACAATGAATATTTAATATCTTGGTTAGGTTATCCATGGTGATTAACTGTTTTTTAAATTTTTAATGCATGTTCTGCTGTGAATCAGTTATATATATATTACTTGTATCTTTCTTTCAAATAGTTTTAAAAATATCTTTTGTTATTTTTTGATGCCTCTTTTATAGAAATTGTTTCCATCTGAATGGCCTGCTCGTTTGCTTACAATTCGTGATATTGAGAATGATAATCGTAAAGGATATGTTGTTGAAGCTAGAATTCCTCTTGCAACTAAAGAAGAATTTGAAGAATGGCTTAAAGCTCACGAAGTTATGTCACAAGCGTCATATGTTCTCTTAAGAAAATATCCAACAACTACTAAAAAGTTGTCATATAAGGTGAACTATACAAATTTTTATTTTAAAAGCAAAATATTTTATCTAAATATACAAGTTTAAGGCAGTTACAGATAAACTACGAAGAATTAGTTGTCGAATAATTACTTTAAACCTACTTATGTACGAATAAAATAGCATTTATTTTCTAGTTTACAACCTTTTTTCTTTCTTATTTGTTTTATTCGCATATTTTTCTTAATATTCTAGGTTTCTATAATGCTGATGTGCATTTCAGAGAACAAAGAAATTTGTTCTTTATAAAGTTTCTTACTTAATCTCGTTAGATGTATTAGAACGTGCAATCGGCACAATATAAAGATTTTTTATTATACTAAACTCAAAGGATGTCATTTAAACCAAAGAAACTTCAGCAGATTTTTCGTAATAAATTTTAAGAAACACACCTGAAGATACAAAAAACTGAAATGTATGTTAAAAGTAAATATTTCTTGCAATTTCATAAAAATGTTGAAATTTAAAAAGCAATTATAAGTTGGGTTTTTGAGAGTTATTTTTTCATTCAATTTAATGCCAATCACTATAATGTAAGTTCACAAAATATTATTATTTTTTGTAAGTAATGTTCACTTTTTTTATATCCTTGATATATTTTTAATAGGCTGAATATGTTTGTATTAATGGTCCTGCCCCTGACCGTCATTCAAAGAATGAGTCAGCTTGCCCTGCAAGATTACTTGTTCGCATTAGAGCTGATCCCAAATTCAGGTTTGTTTTATATTATCCATTTCAATTTTTTAAAGTGAAATTAATTTCATTAATACTTGTACAATGTTTTTATTTTATATTTCATTTTTTTAAATTTAATACTGAAAACAAAGCTGCCAACAATTTTGATTTTTTTTAAAATTTTTTCCTTACTACAATTTATTTATTTTTTTTTTTTTAAAGTGGGAAGCGTTTAGTACTTAGGTTATTTTTTTCTTATGTTTAAATAAATATTACTATTCAATAATGAACCAAGTCCCATTGTAACCACTTTTTATATATTAAAAAGTTAACTTCAAGTTTATTAATTAAGAAAATACTACCGTTATCTGAAATTAATTAAATATAAATATCAATTATTATGCATAATTTTTATAATTAAAATTTTAAAAAAATAATTAAGTCAATTTAATGTCACTTGAAAATATTGCTGTCGATTTAAATTTATAGTTATTGATTTAGTGTATTTTTCTTCTGATCAAGTGTGAGCAGATAAAAATGACTATATAAACATTTATAAAAGAAACCTTTAATTAAATAAAAATTATGATTTCTGATTATAAGTTCATAGCATAGAATTGTCCTGTTATGAACCTAAAGTTAGTGAACTGTCTTTCAGTTACTTTTAGAAATTTGTTAAAAAATGCTAGTGCCATGTAATTTATGAGTTTATTCTTATCTCGCCCCGCCCTATTTTAGGGCATACGAGAGTTGATACACACACAAATCATACATTAAAAATACGTAAATCTCTAAAAGTTACATCAACAGTGAATATAAAAATCTGAATATCTAAAATAATGTTCAGTACAATTCTATAAAACAAGTTAAAACCAAATAAAATAATAAAGTAGTAAAAAGGTTAAAAAAAAAAAAAAAAAAAAAAAAATCACCCAAAAACCAATAAATGTGAAATGCCATGTAATTTATGTAGAAATCTAAAATTATGTAAAATAATATCAAGTTTATGCCTCATAAATATTTTAGCAATCTATTCAACATTAAAGTATAACTGGTAAATTTAGCAAATGGAACTGTTTAAATAATTTCCAGACATTTCAAGTAAGATAAAACCAAACTTTTTATTTTATTTGAATTAACTATTAAATTGAAAAGTTGTTCTAAGTATTCTATTATACCAATGCAGTAAAAGTCTGTTATATGCTTGTCTTTCTAATCAAATACATATATTTTAAATTAAAAAAAAAAGAGTATAATAATGTGTAATAGCTTTTGATGTCATTAATTATACTTAATGTAAATTTTAATTGTATGTTGCCAAGAAAGGGAACATTATAGATATATGGTAAAAAAAAAAAGGATACCTCCGTTTAAAATGAGCCCTGGAATAAATTTTTTTCTTTTAGAAGAGGAAGTCAGCCACCCACACGCTAGCTTTGTAAACGTAATGAGTAAAATTTGTTAGTAGTGAAATGTAAAATGTTCTTTTGTGTTTTATTTTCCTGGTATTGGTACCAGATATAAATAAAAAAAATTCCCTTTTTCATGTAATTTTGTTTGCTTTAAGAACACAAACAAATGTATTAGCTTCAAAAAAATGTGCAATAGCAGAAGGCTAGCAATCGCTATAAACATATACAGTTTTTGTATCTTTTAGCATTTTGATGACGACATGGAAACTTGTGGTAATAGCAGATTTCTTGTAATTTGCTACGAACTTCTACTGTAATTAAAAAAAAAATAATAATTGTTTACATGGGTCAATGATATTCAAAAGCACCTTAAAAATATATAAAAGCATTCCTTTTCTTCTCTGAGGTGTATTTTAAATAATAGCATAATAAAAATTAATACACTATGAAATTTTATATTATCTTTTTCCTTTTTTATAATTTTATTATTTAGATTATTATTCTTGTAACTTAAAACAATAATAATATAAAAAATAATAAAATTCTTTATTTGTTATTAATAATTTTGCAAGAAGATGCAAATGATATGAATGAGTATTTTTCTTTTAGATTTTCAAAGACTGCAGATGAAGGTCAAGCTTCAGCAGTGATTGGCTATCCATGCAACGTTGTTCTTTACCACTTGCACAACCACAGCATTGGGTCCAATTCCATTGAAACAAAAACTGTGACTGCAGAGGAGATATCTACAGTAGTTAAGCAAAAGTTTAACGAGATGTTTAAAGGGGGATACACTCTAGAGCAGGCTCTGGAAACTCACAAAAGAGATTTACTCGAAGAGTACACGGATGAATATGAAGAGGTTTTGAATGATGCCTATGTTTGTCCAACTATGGATTGGCTCACCAATTTTCATGCCAATTTTCTGGAGGAGTTTGATTGGAATGATACTAAAATAGCAAACATCCTGAAAGACGAGATTGATGATATCAATGCATCCAAAGGAAGCGCTACCATGGTTACAATGGATGACAACATAATTGTAGTTTTGTCAACACCATTGATGCAGAGAGCTCATTCCATGAAAGCATCGGGTGAAGTTGTGTTTGTAGACAATTCGGGATATTTAGACAGGTGTAAGTGTTACGTTTATGTCCTCACGGCTTATAGCATCACAGAAGGACTGCCCCTGGGCTTGGTCATAACGACTTCTGATTCTGAAGAAATACTCTCAACTGGTTTTAAATTACTTGCAGAAATACTTCCAGAAAAGGCGTTCGGTTCTTTCGGCAGACAGGGACCAGAGGTGTTTTTGGCTGCCAATAGCGAACCATTACAGAACAGCTTAAAAAAGGTATATCCGGAAAGCGCTGTTTTATTGTGTGCCTATAATATGTCGCAAGAGTTATGGCGGTGGCTTTGGAACCCCGAGAATGGGATTGAGGAGCAAGATCGTTGCATGCTGTTTTCGCTTGCATACAAGGTTATGCAAACTAAAACTGCTGAGGAGTTTAATGAACGGACTAATGCCATAATCATGAATGAAACAGCTCAGAAGTATGAAAACTTCAGATATTATTTTGAAGACATTAAAAATGTGAATGACCAATGGGCTGTCTGCTTCAAAAATGAAATTTTGGACAAAAATAAAGATATTAGTAGCATAGAAATGGCAAGCCATGTCTTAAAGGACAAAATTTTTCTGACAAAAGCTTACAATATCTTACAGCTTTTAAAACATTACACTGATACCATGGAAACGTACTATCGGCAGAAAATAATTCAGTGCATCAACAATTCTTTGGAGAACTTCATACTGTCGTCATTCCAAGCTGAAATGAGAGAAACTTCTGATCTAACTGTTAAAAATGTTCCATCTGGACAGTATGAGATTAAGAATGTGAAAAGTGAAAGATCTTACTACGTCGATATGAATATGTGCGTTTGTTCATGCACGCTTGGCTTGAACGGCGCACGCTGTAAACACATGTATGCTGTGTGCCTATCGAAGAAAAGTGATTTCAAAACTGCTGTTCCAAATGATGATGTCATCAAAAAAGAACTGTTTTGGATTGCCACTGGTACAATAAAAACTGGCTCATTTGATACTCAAATGGATGATGATAGTGACACAGAAATGGCATCACCATCCAAAACGACTCTTGATGACAAAGAATTGCAGCAAAAAGAAGATTCAAGAAAGATTTTGGAAAGGGTCATTAAGAACATAATGCAAAAGTACGATTCAAACCCTGTCGAATTTCAAAAAGCGATCGTCACTGCTGCTGTAAATTATCAGAATTTAAATAATGAAAGAGAGATTCTGCTAGCGCTAAGGAATTTTGGCAAACAAAACGTTTACAAATAATCTCTGCCTCAGTTATAATTCCAAGTTGTGTATATCAGTTATAAAGTATTTTTTGTTTTATTTTTACTTTCTTTTCCCAGTACCATGAGTCACTAAACTTAAGAAAGTCAGTATATTTTAATTTATGTAACTTGCTTCACGTTTCATAATGAAAGTTTTTAATGTGGATGCATTATGCATAATAATTAGGTGTATTTTATATTGGTTTGTACAAAATTACTTATCTGTTTTCTTCTGATAAAAACAATAATAATTACAGAGTGACTAATTTTAAATATCACTCAGCAAATTTTACTGTTTCCCCATAATTATATTTAACACCCTTTTATAAATTAATTTGTATGAAAGTTGACCAGCATTTTCTCAATGAATAAACTATAAGAGGGTGTTAACAATTTGAAGGAAACAGAATGCTTAACTTCTACAAGTTAATTGCAGTAAAATTAAATTAGTAGAGTTTTATATTTTGACAAAATTTCTATTTCATTATTTAGCAGTGATTATATATTTTTCTTTCATAACAAAAAATCTAAAGAACTTTCTAAGATTCATCATGAAATATATTAAAGTAAATATTAACTGTTTCTAACTTATGTGACAATAATTCTTTAAAAAAATGGGTAAAATATCTGCTATTTTCTTTAAAATTAGGTGTTATTTTATACTCTTTTTACTTTGCAAAATAGGACTTTTTGAGTTTAATTTTTTCTTTTACATTTGCAGGATTTTCTTATTTTTTGTTATCCTGCAGATTTATCATCTAGTTTTAAAAATGTTGATAATGAAGTTCTATTTTGATTCCTGTGATGATCAAGGACTGACAAAAGTTGTAAAAGTTTTGGAGCCAGTTTCTAGAACTATTGAGACTTAATCGCATTTGCAGAGAAGTAAAAAAACTAGCTTCTCATAGATGTGCTTTACTATTTTTTAGTAATCATATGTGTATCTTTTCACAGTAAGAGAGTTAAATATTCAATTAAAAAATCAAATTTTGCAAAAATAAGGAAATAATCTTTTAAATTGTATTTCTCATAATTCAATGAAAGAAACTTTGAGATAAAATTTAAAAACTGATTAATTTTTACTTTTTTCTCTCTAATGAATTCTATTGCTTATAATAAATGTGAACATAGGTGTCCATGTGTTAAAAAAGTAAGTTAGTCGCCAAGGGTATGTTCTTTTCTAGTCACCTGGGCGACCTGGTGCTTGAGATTTGTTGGTCCCTGATGATGATATATCCATTTGACTATTGCAGAGCTTGGTGGGAGAAAATCCTAAATGACATTTTTAAAAGAATTCAGATTGCTTATATTTCTCTTGGACTGCTTTATTTAGTCGAGCCATAAATTATTGAATGTAGATTCATAGTGGCAACAAGCAGTTGATGACAATCGTAGAAAGCTTTTTATTTTGGAAACATAATAAACCAAACGCTAAGATACAAGCAGATGAAATGAGTGTTTGGGATAGAGATTTTTCTAATTGGAAGCTTGCAAACAAGAAGTAAATGAAAGGCATTTTTATTTCCACAAATGCAAGAGTTACTTTAAAACTTATTTCGATAAATACACAAAAATGTCATTTGGAACCTTCATCCACTCTGATCTTCAATTTCTAAGTCATATTTTTAATATTTGTTATCTTTTATTCATTTTTAATATCAAATTTGAATGCTATAAAGCTGATAAATTCTACTTTATTGACTAAGAATGAAGTGAATTAAGTGAACCATGAATTAAGTGAACCATTCACGTAATTCAAGATTAGTACAAATTGTGCGGAGATCTTTTATTTGCATAATTTTTTTTTAAAAAAATATCTGTGAATCATTTATATATTTCAAAGCAAGCTGTAAATTTAATTAGTGACTTTTATTGTATAATTTTTTTTGTTTATTAAAACTATATGTACAAAATTCAATATCTCGACCTCTATTTTCTAGACACTTATTTACAATCATCAATATTAACCCATTCTTTCAAAAAGAACCCTTTTTTTTTTCATTTAATGTTAGTGATTTATAGCAAAAATTTTATATATAGAGGAAAATATTTTTTCTCTTCCTGTGTTTAGGATATCAGGGATCTGTCTAGGTTTTTCTGAGAAGTACCTATTTTGTGAAAATTTAGACATAATTAGTGAAAAATTAAAAATTATATTAAAAAATCAACACAAAAATATGGATTTATCGTTTCTTAAGGGATTTAAATTTCAATTAATCAATTTTCAATAAAATTAATTTATTAATTTTCAATAAAATTTTAGGAAAAAGTATTTCCTAAAATTGAATTTGTGAAACTACCGTTTTTCCTAAAGTTGAATTTGTGAAGGTACCGCTAAACGGTAGTAAATTCGGCCTGGACAGACATTTGGATATACAAACGTTAATACAGCTTTAATGAAAAAACTTAGAGTTGTTGTGGAGAATAAACTATGAAAATACTTATATTTGAAAGAAACACCTGTAAAACAACAGATTAATCTCTTTATTTATGAAAGATAAAATTTAACTTATGTGCTTACTTTTTTTAAAATATTTTATTTTACTAACCTATTTTAGGTCAAGTATAAAAGTTTTATAAAATGTGGAATTTTCATTAAAATATGCTTAAATTACATTTATAAAGATAAAATAAAATTTCGTTTATAAAAAATAAGAAATTTTTATATGCACCATTGATTAAATCATTTAGTTATCATTCAACACTAGTTTTTTTCATGACATTTCCTTTATTTTATTTAGAGCACTTAAACTTTAATCCATCATGAAGCATCTGTTTAATCGTAAATCTGAATAAGAAATTTACAAATAATCATTTCAGTTTTTAAAAAACTAGGCATAGTTAGAAAATTTCTTAAATTGAATTACTAATATTTTATTGATGTCTTCAGAAGCCTTGAGAATAGCAGAAAAATAAAAAAATATTTAATGAATCTGTATGTTTCCGCACCTTTGGCCAAAAATGGGTTAATGTCAATTTTATATCATTTAACCAATAACAAAATGTTATTGTTCATTCATTTATTGAATTTTTTTTATATCTTAGAGACTTATTTTTGTCCTAATAATACCAGTTATCAAACTTTCTACTGTATATGTATTGTTAAATAAAGAGCATTCTAGACCTATACCTCAAAATAAATATTTTTATTTAAATCCAGCTTTATTTTTTCAATATAAAAAAAGTTCATAAAACTATTGTTAAGAATTTTTCCCCGTTGCATAATAAAGTTGTCTTTGAAAGCAATGCCTTTAAAGTATTTGAATTTTTTTTATTGTTTTGTTATTTTAAAATGCATTAAAAATATAATTTTAAAATAATAAATTCTTTTATTTTATTTGTTGAACTTAAGCACAATAAAACGGTGATTATCTGATGTAACTCATGCAAGACCTGCTATTATACTAGAATGTTAACATATATTTATCAATCTGAAACTTATGTAGTCATTAAATTTCTTCAAATAACGAGAGCCATAGGGTCAGAGCAAAGTTAGCTTGACACCAGCCCTGAATTGTTAAAATAAGATTTTGATCTTATAAAATTTTTTAATTATGTGAACAAAAATATTGTTAGAATTGCTTTGGTTATTCATTAATCAGTATTAGTTATTTCAGTAACATAATGAGCTAAACATAGTTTTAAATATATTTTTCACTAAACTTGAAAATATAACATCAACAAGAGATTTGTATCTCCATTTTGTTTCTGAACACCATATATTTTAATTTATACAAACTCTTAGTAATTGTTGAAATATTTTTAAACTTATTAATAAATACTAGCATAAATTATCAAATACATAAAATATTCTCGTTCAATTATATATAAATTAAAATATAGTTGGCGTAGCTTTTGGAGTTTAAAAAAGTAGTAAAATTCTGAAGTTGAGGAAAATTTTGGGGGACACTGCCCCCCTGGCACTACACCTATGTGTTGAAAATATAGTGATTGAAAACTTATATATTGATATGTTAGTGTGATCTTGATATTTTAGTAATATAAGTTTTAATTGAAGTTGAAATGTATAAAATTAAAATTTTGTAAATATGAAACAGTTAGGAAGTAAAACTTACCATATAAAGATTAGTTTAATTCTCAAAATGAGTGAATTATCCCCAAATAAGTGGCATTGAAAAGTACCTGACCTCAATTTTAATCTTACGATAATTTTAATGAATCTTAAGATCAGCTTTGATAGACTTTGAAAAAGGCATGATAGAATGTTTCTAGTAGCTTGGTTATGTATATGTATATAATATCAAAGATTTGAGGAAGAATCTCATACCTGGTCCCACTTACCTTTTTGTTCTTCTAGAGTGGGAGGGGTTTTTAACAAAATAGTAAATGAGGGCTAGAAAAGATGTCTCGGAGTCATTTATACTTTCTATTGAAGTAAGAAAGATATTTAATGAGTTGTCATCAAATATCACAAACAGAGAAGCATTATTTGTTGTGAGTGCTTTGAAAGTTACCCATTTACAGCAGAGAAAACTTGAAAAATCTGGTCTTAGAAATTATCATTCATAAAATATTCTCTTTTCTTCTTCTTTCAAGCAAATAACAATTGAATCTCAAATTTTTTTTTTTTAAATTCTACTATTGATAACATGAGAGTTTTGAGAACAGAAATTTTTTATTTTTGATCTCCCTTCGAATGTGAGATATTAAGGTTTGACTGTATATGATTGTAACCGAATACAGTTCTAAAGCAACCTCAGAGCGAGATTTTATCAATTGCAGTTTCAATGCTAAAAAATAAAACTAATTCAAGTTTATTACATAATTTTCGCGATATAATTTTAAATCTATCAAATAGATAAAGAGATATAAATGTTTATAAAGTACAGTTTTTGTTCAAGTATTTTTATAAAGTATATTAAGAGGTTTAATGGAATTTCTTAGTAACAAGCTTAATGTAAGTTTTTTGATTATAGTTCTAGTTCTAGAAAAAAAATTGCTTTATCTTTGCTAAGTTAGCATGTTAGAACTTGAAACCAATTTGTGTATGACCATTTTAATCATGTATAAATCAATAAACTCTTTAAAATTAAATTTTATTTAAAAGCAAAATCCATAAAAATATACAAAGCATTAAGTTAGTATATAAATAAAAATGGTGATGATTTGTGTGGCATACAAATCATTGGAACATTGCAGAGTTCATTAAAACCAGACTACAGAGGATAAATTAAGGAGCTTTAATAGAGTAACTATTGGTGAATTAACTTCACAATACTGGAAAAGAAAGTATTCTTTAAAGTTGAAAATACATAATTTATCACATTAGAGAGTCAAATGGATGGAGCTTTTATTATTATTTGATGGGTGCTCCTTTCATTAAGCTACATTTGATTGTCCCACAGGATGTGATCATAGGATTCCCTTGCCATTCAGCTGTGCAGTCACTTGAAGTGCGAAAATCAGGCTAAAATGTAAAAAAATACAACTGTAAATAACACTGTATAATACCAAATACATGCTCATACTAGCCATAATTTAAGTTTCTAGCACAGTGATTCTCAACCTTTTTTTTGTGGCGGCATACTTTTAACGATTTCGAAATTTGACGGCACACAATAAAAAACATTAGTTTAAAAGTTGTTTACTTACCTATAATACACTGTGTTAAATAGTTTGTGATCATAACTTTGAATGTGAAATAAAATATGTACTACAAAACCACGTTTATTAAGGGATTAATTATTTCTTCCGACTAATTTTTTGTTAGTTAGTAACAGTTATTTATTTTTTTGTTAGTTAGTAACAGTTATTTATGTTTTGCTAGTTATTAAATGTTAGCTTGTTTTCTATAGTTATTATCTGTTCGTTTTTTTACATTAATTCTTATTTTTTCGTGATTTCCTGTAAACTAGTATTTTTGCTAATTATTAATTGTTAGCTATCCTTTATTAATTTGTTTTTATAACTATTTATTGCATAGCTTACTTCAATGATTAGTTTTCATTTCCGTTTGAAAGTTAATATTTAGCTTGCTTTCCTTTATTAATTAGTAATTTTAATAGTCATTAAATTTCCTATCTATAATTTCCAACATTATTTAAAATTGTTAAAGACAATTTAAACACTTCCTTCTTATTCTAACTAATTTTAAGATTGTCTGAGACAAGACAATCACCGACAAAGATGTTCATGCATTTAAAGGGTGGAAAAATTATGAAAAGTATATATATATATACACACTTTTTTTAAATTTAAGCTTTACTCGTAATAAAATAAGCATTAAAATTTTTATTGCATCATTTCCAATATTTGGCGGCACACAAAAGTGTCGCGGCACAGTGGTTGAGAATCACTGTTCTAGCATATTAAAACTTTGAATTAACAGCAAGCTCTGGTCAAAAAACAAGTTTTTAAATCAAAAGACTCGTAAATATAAAAGTCAATTTTCAGAAAAATAGATAAATAAATCAAAATAGAGACAATATGATCATATCAGAAATAATATTTCTTATAAATATAAAAAACTGTTATTTGTAACTAAACATAACATTTTTTTCACCTGTGATGCATGGTAAGTCTTTATTGAAAAAGATTTAGCCAATCAAGATTTTTCTGCATAATGTATTAGCTTTTGCACAAAAGAAAGATAACTTATTAGCTCATTACATGTAAGAAAAAAAATTCTCACATGTAATAAGCAACAATTTTAATTGAGCTATTTTTTTTAGTATGGTAGCAACATGATATCACCTATACCAATTCAAAACTTTTTTATTTCAATTTAAATGTTAATATGAGAACAATAAACTTTAATAAATAGCTCATAGGATAAAAAAAAATACTAGCGTAAACTATTATCAGGGGTCTGTTTAGAAGAAATTTGGGTCCGTTAACGGACCCTTCACAAAATATCTTTTCATAAAAATGGACCCTTCACAAAATATTTTAACTTAAAAACGGACCCTTCACAAAATGATTTTTCTTTTAATCGGACCCTTCACAAATTTGTTTATCTTCATTATTATTTTGTTAATCGAATAAACCCTTTCCAGGGCAGAAAACAAGAAAGATGGATGTAAACGAATTAAGTTTTGTCTTCGGCAGACGATTCTTCCATTATTCGTCCGAAATTAATATTCTGCGTTCAGCAGTATAGGCTAAATACCAAATATTTGTATGTTGCATCTCTAATTTAGAAGCAGCAATTGTTGTTTATTTTTTAAAATTTAATTTTTTTAATTATAATTTTACAGTGTTGAGCATAATCTTGTATATCTTTACAATTTAAAAACTCCTTGAAAAAGTTTTTTTTTTGCAATAACGGACCCTATTTGCACAAATTCATAAAAGCAGACCCTGGTTGAAAGAATGTGAGTAATTTTTTCACAATTTCACGAAAAACGGACCTTTCACAAAATGTCTGGAAAACCCCTGATTATGCTACATTGAGGCAAACATGAAGGATCTATTAATGAGATCTATCACTAACTTGTAAGGTTTCCCAAACTTTCTTCTTTGGATTTAACTGCTCATCTGGTTGAGAGTTTTCATAGCCATCTACAAACACTCGATCTCCTGGCTTGCTCCCCTCAGGTGGAATTAGTGTTTCAACTTCTCTTGGTTCTTCTCTGGAAAAACATTTAATGAGTGGATAATTATATTATCAAATCTTCTAATTTTGTAAACATATCACAGTAAACATTTATTTAGACCAAGAACTAATTTGCAGTAAACAGGACATAAACTGTTATAGGTCAAAGATGGCAAACCTGTGGCATGTATGTCATGAGGTGGTACAAAATATTTTTTTTTGTGGCATGCAGCAAGTACAAAAATTAAAATTATACACTCACATTTACTAATAAAATGAAAACCTTCTAAGACTGGCGGCCATTAAAGGTGCATTTAGAAACGTGAGCCTGGGCACCATGAAATCATTTTAAAAGGTTTCGTTTGATATAATTAAAATCGTGAGACTCAATTCTTATTTACAAATGTTCTAAATAATTGCCAGTTTTTCAGGTTTTTACATGAAATTGAATCTTAATATGGTGAACTTCTTATGAATAATAACATTTTGGATAAAATTGTTTGAAGATTTATTAAATTTTAGATGAAATTACCACTTTTCAGGGCTGATTGTGCTCTGGGAAAAAATCCGGATTTTTCGCTAACCGTGATCCGGAAGTTTCCGGAGATCGAAGGTTCAGATGTCTAAAAAAAATCATTGATTACAAAAGTTTTCGGAAATCAAATTTTCAAAGGTGAAACTTAAAAACACAGTTTTCTTTGTTTGTAAGGCGAGCTACCTTATAAGCTTATATTCAAGATTAATATTAATTTTTTATCAGTAAATAGTTATTATAATCATGAACTCAAGAAAGAAAGACATATTTGTAAATTGCAATTACTTCTCCTGGTCATCATAGGCATGTGTAAAATTTTAAATTTAATTTAAGTAAACTAAGAAATATTGAGAAAAAGGAAAAAACCTTGTTTAAATTTTTTTCGATTTAAACTTTTTTTTTTTCACTCAAGAAATTTTCCGGAATTTTGACTTGGGCTCACAATCACCCCTGTCTTTAATTACTGAAAAAGAACAAGGATTCATAAAACTTGTGGTTCAAATTTAAATGTGCATGAAGAAACATAACAAGTTGCACACTGGACACCAGAAAATAATGAATTGTGATTTAACTGGCACATTAATTGAAAAAGGTTCACTGATATGAATAAACTCTAACTAGTCATCTGTTTTATTGATAGAGACACAAAAATAAGCTACTAATGTAGTAATACTTAATCAGGCATTAATACACACATATTTGATTCTTGCTCCTCTTTGAAATAATGCTGCTGCAAATAATCTAACGACACAATTCAAAAATTTTTAACACTACATTACAAAACTAGTACAAGGTTCATACCACAGGGGTGACTTAACCATGGTGCTAGCAGGTTGGAAGATCATAAGTGGTACTTCAGTCAGTTCTGACATTTCAGGAAGCCACAGTTTCTGTTAGTTTTCATTAACTTTATTTTATATATTTTAGGCCATTAATTGACAACAAAACTTATTATGGGCTTTAAGTTAATCATGTTAAAAGCTGGGTAAAAATATAGTTTACATAAAATAACTCAGTGAAAACTATGTATGTAACTAAATCAAATTAGTTCTAGTTTAAAAGAACAATAAGTTAATGTTATGCACTTAAATAAAACACTGAAAATTATTTCTCAAGATTTTCTAAATGGTTCAAATAAATCAAATATGGTTTTATATACTAAACTTTATTTTTTACTTGAGTTACTAGAGTACTAGTCAAGAAGTGAATAAGAAAAAAAAAGTTTTGTCATCAATGCAATTTCCATAGATTGTGTAGTGAATTATAGCTTTTCTATATACTATAAGTTTTACAGAAAACATCCATCTAAATAATTTAAAAACTTGGTAACCATTTTGGGTCAAGACTTTTTCTCGGGGTATTCAACTAACAAATAAATGCTAGATTTTTGAATATAAATATTTCCTTTCTTGGCTCAGGGCATGACATTTAATTCATTTGTTCGTGTTACAATGAAAACCTGTGAAGCTTACCACACTTGTAAGTTGACTACATGTTTAACTTAACCACTATTACTAGCAATTGACTTTATCTTACTTAATAAAATAGAGCAAAACCTTCGTAACAAGACTACTGAAATTTCTCTGGGAGTCTTATTGAATGCTGTTCTAAACCTTTTGTAAGTTCATTGGAAAATAAACATTAAAAGAAAATTTTCTCTGCCATTATTTCATGAAATTTTCTGAATATATAAAATAATAAAAGCTAACTTTAAAGCTTGTTAGGTGACTATAGGAAAAAAAAGGGCTTTAGTAAGAGCAATAAAGTACATCTAACATAAATTTTAACTGAAATAATAATATTTTGGAATTTTCTAATAGCATATAGGTTTTTTGTACTGATATTTTAAGAAATTATTCATAATAAAATCCAAGCATACATTACTAACAAAATATGCAAATTTGTTTTTGGTTAAATAATGAGTTTAATATTAAATTTATGTAACATTGTAATTATACTGGTAATTAATCTCATTTCATAAGATATATAGAGTATTTGTTTAATAAAATTAAATAGTTATGTTACTGAAAATTTAATTACATTTAATTTTGACTAGTAGCATAATACAACTATACACATAAGATGAAATATATAATATATATAGATTATGTATGCATTATATAAATACTTATACATAAATATTACATGAGTATTACATATGTATATTAATGTTACGTAACACACATAAAAAATTACATGAAATAAAACTCTACCCTCTACAAGTTGACCACTAGAACAATGCATCACAAGTGGTCAACTTAGACAAGTTTCACTGTGTTTGATTTGAAAGTTTAGTTACATTAAAGGAAAAAAAATTGCAAAAATGAATAAAAGAATATTAATAAACTTACCGAGAAGCACAAAGAATCATGGCCTGTGATTCAATTCCTCTCATTTTTGCTGGTTTTAAATTGCATAAGGCTACAACAGATTTATCTTTTAAATCTTCTAGAGGTATTAGCTTTGCTAACCCACTCACAACAGTTCTAGGACCTGAAGATTCACCTAAATCTACTTTCGATACATATAAACTATCAGCATCAGGATGCTATGAAGAGAAATTTTTTTTATAAATAAATGAATTTCACACAAGTTGCACAATTCTTTTTTTTTTTACACATAGCTTAAAGGTTGGTCAATTTCAATTTTACTAACTATTAGCGTGAACTTTATCGAACATAGTCTGATGTCATTCAAGCATTGTCGATTATTAATAAACAGTCTTTTTTATAATAGTCAACTGGTTATTGGAAATCAATTAAACTCTAAATTAACTTATTCGATTGAACATTAGATATTCTTGTAAAGGCAGTATATCAACTTTTACACATTGCTGTATTCGGAAGACAGAATGTTTAATAGAGCAAAGAATAGCCAAATTTTTTTCTACATTGGACCATAATACGTTCAAACGATGCAGAAAAACAGATGTATGCTAAAGGGTAAAACCCATTAAAGGTGCTGAATTGGTAAATACTAACACCTTGAAATTTGGAAAAATTAAAAAGAATAATCATAAAGAAAGCATCAAATAATCAAATCTAGGCATTGGAATTTCTTAAAATTTTTTTTAAATGTTATCTAGGTTTACCCAGGGCTAAAGAGAATAGAAGGGCTAGTTCACTCCGCTCTTAGAGCTGAAGCTACGATTTCCCACTTCATGACGTCGCTGTGTCCACAGATCTCGGAAGATCGCACGCAAAGATATTATGATAACTTTGCATCTTTCTCTTTGTAAAAATAAGTTAGACTTTTTCTNGCGCCAAAGTGACGTCACTAGAGAAAATCAGAGGATTGGCGCGGCAAGAGTTACTTCAAAGGAGTGAACCAGCCCTTCTATTCTCTTTAGCCCTGGGTTTACCTTAGCTAATAGTTAAAAATATTGTTACAGATGGAGGGTACGTAGGGTGTAATTGCTCAAGGCCTGGGGTTCTTAGGGCCATTTGACTTATGTTTACTTATGAAAGAAAACTCAGCCCAACAGATTAAAAATAATGTGCAAGATCTAATGCACAATGGTCAATATTAACAGGTAAAAAGGAAAAAAAGATACAAAACAATTCTTATCTAAAGGTTTTATAACAATCTGACTAATTAAATTAATCCTAAAAATGATAAGAACGCCATAGTCATGCCATAAACGAATTGATTATTTATGCATTTATTATTTCAAGAAAAAACATTTTTATTACAAACCTTTTGAATTTCAACTATTTTTCCTACTCGCATGTCTAGTCTTGCAGGGGAAATAGGGGTATCAGCGGTGACAATTTTTCCTTCTGAAAGCATACAGAAAAAATATTACACATAAAATAAATTACATTTAAAATATTCAAACTAAATAATACAAAGAAATATATACCTTTTTTCATTTCTGCAAGCATGAATAAAAAACATAACAGATATAAAATCAGATCAGATATCAACATTTTTGAAAATCTCACGCTAAACGTGCAAAAGTTCTCCTCTTTTAAGTGTGCAAAATATAGTTAGCATGCTTTGAAGAAAGCCATTAGGTATTATCTTACAGGTAATTAAATCTTTGTAAAAGACTGTCTTTTATTGTTATTTAAATGCATTCTTTTATTTTTAATGTGAAATATATTAAATAACTTTTATACTATCAAATGAGGGTGAATTAAAAACTTGACTTTCTTTAAAGGCTTATTTAAAAATGCATGAAATATATATGTAAGAAAATAAATCTGATATTAATTGCAATGGTTAAATAAAACTGACCAACTGACCTAAATTTGAAAAAAATTATAACGCAATAAAATCATTGAAATTACAGGAATGTGAATGGGTATTAAGATGTATTCAAAAACCAATGCAAATAAACATCCATTTTCTTTCCGCAAAAAATTAAACTTTTCAGTGTAAATTAGTTGTGATTTTGAAGAAAATGTCTGTTTTAGACAAATCAGTTTTGGTTAATTATTTATTGGAACAAAAATTACAACATTGAATGTGGTAAAAATAAGGACTCAAATTTAACAGATGAGAAAATAAAAATTTTAAATTAAATATTCATTAGAAAACTGTATACAACTGTACACATATGATATAAAATACTGTATACAGTATTTCATATCAATAGTTTAAGAAAATTAAAAGTTCATTAAAAACAAATTTAATATATAAAATTTGTTCAATTTCAAAAGTCTTGTTCAAAAATAAAATTTTAGTTCAGTATTTCATAACGTATCCAAATATTGAATTAAATTTTACATGTATCTAAATTAACAAAATTAAATTGATCTAGATGTCTAGAAAAATAAATTAAAACAGACAGGGTGATATAGAAAAAATGAACTATAAAAATAAAACTATGAAATAAAAATAGAAAAGCCAAGTACTACAGCCTATTTAAGATTACATGACTACTATTACTATTTAAGATTACATGAAAGTAATATGACCTAATTTATTTCTTTTATCCTATATGTTGCAGATATTATATTTAGTTTTAAACTAGAGATTAAACAGATCCTACTGTTATACTAGATTTACTATTTATGCAATACTGAAACTAAATTAATAGCACTAAAAAAAGTCTTACATAAAAAATGTTTTTTAATCACACTATTATTTTAAAAGTAATTTCATCTAGAAAAATTCAATTCAGTCAATGATTTATTAGCTTTTGGAAAAAGATTATTTACTAAGAAAACAAATGTATCAAATTTTTATTACCTAAAATAAAAATTATTAAATTTAAAACACAAATTTAATGAAATAAAAAAAAGTAACAATGACCATAAGAGTTAAAAATTAGTACAGGGTGCATAGCCAAATCTTTCAACAAAAAATAAGCACCTTTTAAGTACTTTTTAATCACTCAAAAAATATTTTTAAGCACTATATACACTAAAAAATGCAAAATAATTTTTAAAGGCTCTGCATGATTATAATAAAATAACTAGTTTCTGACAAAGAACTCTTTTCTTGATTATATTAGCCATTATAAAATGATAGAGAGATTTTTCTCTTCGACATCATAAGGTGGAAAATGAAGCCTGAAATTGAGAATATCTTGCAAAATGCAGCAGAGTTGCACACGAGAGTGCAATAATCTTCCCGAACCCAGCTCAGTATATGCACATGCGGACTCTTAAGTATTTCATCAAACATGTAAAATTATTGGCGTTTCGTTATGGAATGACGGTAAGCAGAAATAGATTGTGGTTGAATAAATTGTGAATAATGTTGAGTAGAATAATGCAAAAACCATGCTTTCGCATAATACGAGGTGAAAATGGACACGGTTAAAGAAAAAAAAATCTCATTTTCAAAAAGGGAAAATGAAGCACTTTTTAAAAACGCCCATGAAAAATAACACCTTTAAGGGCTTTAAAAAAAAGAAAATAAGCACCTTTAAGCACTTTTTAAAAATGCTATGCACCATGTAGTATTGATGTTATTGACCTAAAACTAATATCAATAAAAGAACATCAAATTATAACTTAAAAAAAATAAAACATATTTTTAAGAGTGACTATCTGAAAATAATTTCAAATAAAAAGAGTTAAAACAGAATATATCATTGAAATTTATATCATACATGTAAAGATAGAATATATTTCTAAATATTCTTATTCACTGTCTTACTTTTACTAATTGGTGGGTAGGCGGTTGCAGATAGCTTTTGAAGTGCTGGATCTTCAAACTTCTTTCGAATTGGATCAAGTAATCTATTTAAATAAGTTTCTACTGAAGCCTTTAAGTCTCCAGGATGAAGTTTCTAAAAAAATTAATTAAATCAAATGAGCAGGAAAAAAATTTAAATAAATTTAAGCTTACTTTGAAAAAAATCAAAAGATTTCCTGATTGTTTAGGAAAGGTTATAAAAAAATTAAACAAAATAGAAATAGGAACAAAAATTATAAAGTATTTTGTTTAATTATGTAAAATTGATTTCAAATGGTAAAATTTAACTAAGATATCAAATTTCTAAAATGTCAACAAAATCGTTTTAAATAAATTTCAATCTTTCTACATTTACTAAAAATATAAAAAGAAGAAAATATGTACAGTACAGCAAAAACATAAGCCAGAGTTATCTTTATCATTTAATGGAAATATAATTTAATAAAATACCAGTCTTTTAGATATGGTGTAAATTATTTATGAAAAATAAAATAAAGAAATGGAAAGAATATTACTCAATTTTTAATTAAATATTAATATTTTAATTTTAATATTTCAAAATATTTAAAAAAAGTTCTACATGGGAATTACTTCAGCTACAAAATCATTGATCTGGACCAAAGTTTCGAAAGCAGTATGTAAATTATGCACAGGTTATCCGATTCATATGCCAATTACGAAAGAAAAGAAAAAACTTTGAAAATACATTGGTGACCAGAAGCCCAGAGATTGGACATAAAAGCCAGAGACTAAGGCCCAAAGCCCTTGAATCGGTGGGTCTGTAAATGTAATGAGTTGCTAAAAAACGTAAATTTTCAATATAATCAACATGAAGAAAATATGATGAACATATGCAGGTGATTAACATTTTGAAAATCTCTATTAACATATTTTAACATAAATACATACCATATTTTTAAAGTCTTCTTCTATATCGGCATAATTTTTATAATTTGTGTTTCCACCATTTTCTTCATTTCTCTGAATGACAAAATCTAAAAAAATGCAAATTAAATAAAAAAAAGAAATTTAAAATAACTTTACATAAAATTAATTATAGGTGAACATGGAGCAAGAAATAATGGAATTGAACTTAATCGATAATTTACCGAACATTATAGTTCTAAGTCTGATATTAAAAATCTTAGCTTTGTAATGCTTACAAAAACTCTCTTAGTAAAATTTTAATTTTAATCACTCTGTCAAATAATTTAACGTACATTACAGTTCTAAGTTTGATATTAAAAATCTTAGCTTGGTAATACTTACAAAAACTCTCTTAGTAAAATTTTAATCATTCTGTCAAATAACTTTTTACACAAATAAACCAAGTTACAAAATGCGAAAACATAAATAGCTCATTTTATATAAACGAGCCACTCGTTTTTCTGACACCACTCTAAAAAATGGTTTTGAAAAGACAAGATGTTGAATTGAAATGTTGTCACAAATGTTGAAATTTTCAACATTTGTGATCAGCAGAAAGTGGGAGAAGGAAAAAAAGTAGGAATTTCAGAGTAATTGAAAATTTCTGAATCTTAAAATGTATTTTATTTTTTTTACATATTCAATATAAACTATAGAATTTTTTTTCTTAATTTCAGTTTCTTTTAAAAAATTAAGCGGCAAATATAAAGTAAGATAAAAAAAAAAATTAGATATACAAATATCTTACATTTCAGAATAAATGTTCTATTTTAAAAACAATTTGAAAACAATAGAAAAGGCTTTAACCTTCATCTTTGAAGAGGGGTAGTAGCACATGTTTTACAAATGCCAGAACTCCATTATCTTCTAAATTACCAGGTTCACAAAATGCCTTTTTGAGCTTCTTCTTAACAGTAGAGGGATTATCTAATAAGTCTATTTTTGAATCTTCTAAAGAGGAACTCATTTTACCACCAGTAAGTCCAGGCACTAATATTAAAACAATGTAATGCATTTATAACAGAGCAAATCTACAATTTAACAAATTTCACAAAAATAAAGCACAATTGAAACAACTTATTTATTCATGAAAAGAAAGCTAAACGATAGCAGAAATATTTTAAGAAAATTCGTTAAATAAACTTCTGTTAAGACAACCAAAAAAATTTGCATATGAACAAAACTTAATTGCATAAATTTCAATCTTAAATTATTTTTTAATAATTTCTCTCATTTTACTTTATTGATTTTGATTTATTAAAATTAATTTTGATTTATTCTTAGATGAGAATCATGAAAAATTTACATTCTTTATATGGATAATGAATGCATACATTTTNTACAAATATCTTACATTTCAAAATAAATGTTCAATTTTAAAAACGATTTGAAAACAATAGGAAAGTCCTTAACCTTCATCTTTGAAGAGTAGCACATGTTTTACAAAAGCCAGAACTCCATTATCTTCTAAATTACCAGGTTCACAAAATGCCTTTTTGAGCTTCTTCTTAACAGTAGAGAGATTATCCAATAAGTCTATTCCTGAATCTTCTAAAGAGGAACTCATTTTACCACCAGTAAGTCCAGGCACTAATATTAAAACAATGTAATACATTTATAACAGAGCAAATCTACAATTTAACAAATTTCAAAAAAATAAAGCACACTTGAAACAACTTATTTATTCATGAAAAGAAAGCTAAACGATAGCAGAAATATTTTAAGAAAAATTCGTTAAATAAATTTTTGTTAAGACAACCATAAAATTTGCATCCGAACAAAACTTAATTGCATAAATTTTAAATTATTCTTTAATTATTTCTCTTATTTTACTTTATTTTAATTTACTGATTCAATAAATTTTTATTTATTAAAATTAATTTTGGTTTATTCTTAGAAGAGAATGATGAAAAATTTACATTCTTTATATCGATAATGTATGTATACATTTTCAATTTTTTTCATTCAATTTTTCCCCCAGAACAAACAATATTGACAAAACAAAACAAGTTTACTCATTCAGGGCTCCCAACATTATTAAGACAAAGAATTTAGCTATTTCTAGTTAAAAGGGGACTTTGGAGGACCATTTATTATTAAAACCTTTCAAATAACACAATAATAATTTTTATATAAACATAAAAAAAAAAATAGATAAACAAAATTCATTTCAATACAGGATCATACTAACAAGATAGAAATTTAACAGTAAGTTTTTATTAATGTAGTAACTGCTCTTTTGGTTGGCATCTGAAGTTTTAAAATTTAAAGCTTAACTGAATTAAGATTAAATGAATCCGATACTTGCATAAATTCTTCAAATATATTTAAAATTTCACATATTTAAGACTTGTTACAAATATTATGCAATTATTAAAAAAAGGCAAAAAAAAGCTGTTGTGAGATAAATTTTTTTAAAGTTTTTTTTAAAGAGAATCTTAAATTTTACGTTTACAATTCTCATCTAATCCAAAAGGTTCACTTTACTGACTTCATCACATCTGTACAATTTTTGCCTCTAACACATACCCAATATTGAGAGTTTCCTTCAGTCTCTTTTTCATTAGATTAAACTATTGCCTAAACTGAATTCATAAAGATGTGTTGTGAATTACACAGACAAAAAACACCTAATTAAAATCATATTACTTTCATAAATTAGTGAATGGTCTTAATAAACTTTCATAAATTATCAAATTATTAATTGGATACAATCATAATAATTATGAAGATAAAAAATGTAAAAATTACTGTTTACTTTTAAGTGTTTTTATTATGAGTAGTCAAACAGTTGGTAGATAAAAATCATTCAAGATATGTACAGAAAAAGAAGTTATTTTAAAAAGAAAAGATATGTAAGTAAAAGAGATAAAAAAAACTATTGATTTAACCATGAAATTATTGCAAGCATTTCATTAAAATAAAGTATAACATGAATTTCAAAAATTATTCATACCCATTGGATTCATGAGGTGAATTCTTTTAGCATAACCCAATTGAGGTAAATACTGAAACATATCATTAAAAGAGTTGAAAATATTACAATTGAAACATGAAACTAATGCAAAAAATGAAAATTAAAGTAAATTTTATGCAAAACAGTTAAAAAAAACATACCTTTTCAGCAAAAGTGAAAATCTTTCTTTGGTCAACACCACCAAACTGGGCATCTACTTTCAGGTATTCTTCATCTAAGGCCTGTTAAAAAAGGGAATCTATTGTATTCAGATCTTAGTTATAGTTTATAGCTAAATAGTTCATTAAAAATAAGTTTTTGATTATTTTCTAATGAGATACGCTTTAAAAAAATACAACAAAAAGAAATGGGTAAAATTTTATGTCATAAAATTATCATCTTTCATTAAAAAAAAAAAAAAACAGGTCATTTTATTCCCATAAGCTGTATGTTATATTTGTAAGAGCTTATATTAAATCATATTCATGACATGGTAATAAATAACAGTTCAAGAAATTCGAAACTTTTACAAGTGAGAATAGGTAAGAATGCCTTGCTGAAAGCTTTTCACAGCCATAGAGAAAAAAAGTAAAATAACAAAATTTAATACTATTTTATAATAAATAACATAATTAATCTTAAATTGAAATCTTTTAAAATTTTTAACAAGAAAATGAAATTATATGAAACAGCTCAGTTGGTTAGAAAATATAGAAATTGAAAAACACTAAAGTTATATGGAATTATACAATGTAGGTTAAATAAATAACATTATGTTACATTAAAATAAAACTATCAGTATAAATGTCAAAACTTATAACTTTGCAAAATTTAAAAATTGATTACTAACTAATTCCCTAATATGCTGCATGGAAAATTCTAAATTGCCAGTACCTAACCTCATCCACTATCAGTCCATAGATTTAAAATTTTACTAGATTAGTTTTGAATACTTTTGAAAAAATAGTTCGATAGAAAATTTTCAAAAAAAAAATAAAAATAAATAAATAATAATAAAATAAGTGAAAAATCATAGATTTGAGGAAATATTTTGTGATTATAGATTGAAATGATGCTAAAAGGAATGAACCAAAAGAATAATTATAATCCTAAAAACTGTAAGCAATGCACGTTTTCAGAAAACATATCGAATTTGATTTAAGAGGAAAATGACATGATTAATAGATCATTAATGTAGCAATAATTTTTTTTTTTAAAATTACATCTTTCTTAAATAAATTGTGCAGCCAATTTACACATGATTCATGCATTTACAGATAGAAAAAAAATCATTTTCACGTAACAAATAAGCCTTTTAGTTTAAATTCAAAAATTTTTCTTTTAAGTTTTTGATGAAACTTAAATCTGCTTTGCATTTATTAAAACCGTATAGTGTCAATAGAGTTTAACAAATAACCTCGATATATAGTAGATGCACATTATTTTAGAGAACCCTTTAATCAACGTAATTTTTAAATATAAATATGATACGAGTTTTGTATCAATAATATGTTATATTAAAAGTGTGTATACTAACTTGCAGTCCTGGATACATTAAACTGCTTAGGAAAGGATGATCTACTTGTTTAACAACTTCAGCTCCAGCTTTCTTTGCATCATGCTCCGTTACTAAAGATGATAATCTGTACACATCTAAAGTATATTCTCTAAAAATATAAACTTTGCTTAGTTAAAATAAGACAGCTTATAGCATACAGCAACATTATTAAAGAGAAATCAGATTGGTTTTATGAACTAGCTTCTGTAATGATATAAATTATATAAGGGAAGTACACATCTTGGAAATTCCTATCAAAACAAAATTAAACTTCAATTGAAGAGCATGTTTGAAAAATTTGGAAAGGGACAAAATTAGTCACCTAATCTGCCCTATTAAAGTTTCAGTTAATTTATTTTCAAACTAACAAAGCTTCCAGACTTATGTGCAATGGTGGTGTAATGATGCCTTCTACCAGAGAGGTCTCGAGTTGGGAGTCCTGATCTCAGTTGAGATGATTGAATTTTATTTCTAATTTTCTATTCTAAAGAAAATTGATAACAATCTAATATGCTTTATTCAATTTATAAATTATTATTTTTTAGCTAAAATTTATTCTTTTTTAAAAAATTAAATTTTTAAAAGCAAAAAAAAAATTAAAAGATATTTATTTTTTAATTAAAATGCATGGAATTATTTAAAAAATAATTATACAATTTTAATATAAATTTTGAATGACACATTTTTTTAAAAATAATCCATACAATTTAAATAAAAAATAAATTTTTTATTAGATTGTAATTTTAAAAAGATTATAAAATGTTATTAATTAAATTTTAAAAATTTTTTTTCAATAATCTATATATTTTAAATAAAAAAATTTAAAATTTCTATTAAGTTGTTCTAAAGTTCTAAATAAAAAAATAAAAAATAATTCATTAAATGAATAAAATATTAAATAGTTATGAATCCCTTTCAGAAAAGAAAATTAGAGATATAATTCAACCTTCCCACCTGGGATTTAATCTTAGGACCTCATTGGTTCTAATCTCAGGACATCATTTCTGTTAGTTTAAAAATGAACTGAAACTTTAATGGGGCAAATTTTAGTCAAGCTAGGCAACTAATATATACCCTATCCAAGGTTTTTAAAAATGCTCTTAAATTTCGGGTCAACTTTGCTTCAACAGGTATTTTTAAGCTGTGTACTTCCCTTGTGAGCAGGATTGTTATGATTTTACCCAACCTGAGAAAACCCACTAGAAAAAACTCAAGTTTTCTCATAATTGTATTTTATTTTTAACAAATCAGCTCAAAATATTAAGTTTATAATAGAATAGAATATAAATTACATATATTGAAATATTTATATTTCCATTACTTCTATATTCTGTTCATTAAAATTTTAACTAACCTTTTTAAAAATATGTATTAGTAGAAAGTGGAAATAATGTACTAAGGTATTCTCACAAAAATTTGAGATACTAAATCACATATAATTAAAACCAGCTATAACAAGATACAATATAAAATATTATTAGAATCACAATTCAATGAAATAGGAAAATATTTAAAAAAAATGTATTTTAAATACTATTTTCCTAAACAGTGAGTCTAATCACATAGTTTAAAATGATACTTTTAAAAAATAGCATCTTTTAACTGGTAAAATCCTTGTAGAAAATTCTTGTTCTGATGTAATCCTTGTTGAAATAGTAGAGCTTATTTTAGAAGCCCTCTTTGACTGCACATAAATAAGTAGACAATAACACTGTTAGATAAGTAATGTAAGGCACATTTGCATAAATACATTTCTCAGGTTAAAAATTTACTTTGAAAATTGTCTCTCAAAGACTTTAATGAATAAAAGAAATTAAGAAAAAAGCCAATTTAATCATGACTTCTCTTTTTTACAACCCTCCTCGTAAGTGCTAGAGGACATATACTNCCTGACAAAATAATTTTTTTTCCAATCCTGCTTGTAAGTGCAATAGGACATATATTGTATCATTACTAGTAATCGTTAATCCTTTAAGGGATTACACATCAGGCAAAATTGTACTGAAATTGCCCTCCTACACACTACTTTTTCATAGAACAACACGAAGAAAACTTTTCACTTGTTAAAATCAAAATGATCAACAATAATAAATAAATAAAAAAACAGACAAGGCAACAAAAGTTGGTATTTTAAAACTGAAATTAATGAAAAATACTTAGACCTTGTTCATATTAATAATAAATAAGTAAATCATTTTCAATTTTAAATTACTTTACATTTGGTTAAAAGTACACTAATAAACATATTTTATGATCCATAACAATTATTAATCATTCCCTCTTATTATTCCTAACAGAAATTAATAAATTTTATTTTTATATCACTGCCAAAAATTGTCTTCAAAAATATTAATTATTTCTTTTCTTTTCATTTCTTTTTCGTTATTAAGACTTTTTCTTGTTAAGAAGTGTAGTTTTGACATTGGGAGATTTCAAACTTGACCTAAGTTTTAATAAAATGAACTCTTAACTTATCGAAGAAACGAAGAAGAAAAAAAGGCAACAAGGCAGATTTCAAATCTGATATATACTTTGGTATATTCCAAACTCTCTTTTAACAATTTTAAAATAAAAAAACAGGAATAGTTTTTTGAGAATTCAAATTTTAAATTCGCTCTAACTAATTTTTGACTGTTGTTCATTTTTTGAGCAATAAAAATTTCACTGTATTTGGTATCACAGATTTATAAAAATATTTTAATAATTTGTAAAAATATATAAAATAGACATAAATGCATGCTAACCTGCTGAGTTGATAATCAGAGCCTTTAATGAATTTCAGTTTATCTAAGGGTACTCCTATAGATTCCAACATAGCTTTAATCACAGCTTCATAATACTTTTCTCTGAGATCAAGCAACTCCCAGGGAGCTTTCATGTTATCTAGATAAGCATGCAAATCAGCAAACAATATGGTAACCTACAAGAAAGAAAATAATTTAATTTGAATTAATATAGAGATACAAAGGCAAAGTGAACCCAGATAATATTTAGCACAAAACCACAATAAAAAAAGTTTTTTTTTTTAGATTAAAAAATAAAGTTCTCCTCTTTTTCTAAAATTAATATTGACTTTCCAGATTTGAATATTTTTTCTTTAAATTTTATTATTAGTCATTCTACAGAAATGATTTTANAAGGCAAAGTGAACCCAGATAATATTTAGCACAAAACCACAATAAAAAAAGTTTTTTTTTTTAGATTAAAAAATAAAGTTCTCCTCTTTTTCTAAAATTAATATTGACTTTCCAGATTTGAATATTTTTTCCTTAAATTTTATTATTAGTCATTCTATAGAAATGATTTTAATTTTAAAGTTTGACTATTAAATAAAAAAAAATAATAATAAAAAAAAACTTTTTAATATTAGCATAGCTCTCACCCAATTTACAACTGAGTTAAAAACAGAGCTTATAAATGCCATTAAAAATTAAGCCTGACATGAAAATGGAAAAAATATCAATTAAACGCAGTATTTCACAGTTATCGACTTAGAAAAAAAATCTGTAAGGTAAATTTTGGATTAACATTTTCAGAAAAAACACAAGCTAAAAAATTTAAAGGTAAAACAATAAAAAAAACATGAATATAAGCTTTTGATGTATTTAAATTTAAAGATTTATAAAACAAAGGTACAAAATCATGATAAAAATAACTTTGAAAGAAACCCTGTAGTGTGCCCAGAACGTACCTTGTTGTATACCCTTGTGCATACCTGCCAACTTTTAATCCCTTCCATTATGATTTTTCCCAGTGGTATTAAAATGGAATAAAAATTTCAATTTTAAGCAAAAAAATGCGTTGTATTTGAAAAAGCTTAAGCTGCCTACCATGATGGTAACACATATTAATATATATGCTTAATTTTCTTAAGAATAGTGGTGATGAAAATCATTTAAAAATTTAGTTTATAAAAGAAAAAATAGTATATATTTACTACCACTTTAAATATAAGAATTAAATTTTACGCCAAATGCGTAAAAGTTGGCAGGTATGCTTGTGAAACCCCAGAATAATGAACCACCTTGAAGATTACACATTTCAAAAGAAATTCATTCCCTTTAAGGTAGTACAATAGAAAGATTCACGGAAGAATAAAATGATAAATGTAATAAATTTGAAAACCTTAAAAGTTGAGAAATATTTGACAGCTAACTACAACATAGTTCATTCAGAAAATAAGAACTACAGGAAGGACAAGACTTTTTTTTTTTTGCATAATAGCTAACAGTATGTGATTATTGAAATTAACTAAGTTATTGTAAAAATATCTCAATAAAGTAAAATAGGAGATAAGAATTCTAAATAACTAATTTATTCTAAAAATAACTCACTAAAGTAAAATAGAAGAAATTAAATCTAAACAACTTAGTTATTCCAAAACTGAAGTAAAATAAGAAACAAGAGATGAATTTTAAATTTGGTTACGATTAATTTTACAATAATTAAGCAACTCAAAAATTTAAATACTATTTTTATTTTTTTAAAACACTACTTTTACCTCACAATCAGCTTTTAAAAAATCAGCAATTTTAGACATAGGCACAAAATATGCAACATGTGGCTTGCCAGTAGTTGCTGTTCCCCAATAGACTTTCAAATCACGTTCCTTCAGAATTTCTTTTAATTTGTCTTCTCCTAAAGTTTCCTACATAAAAATTATGCAATAATTACTATCACAAGATTACAACATTTTACATAAATACTAACAATACTATTTCCTCAAACTTACGTTACTGTTTATTAAGACCATCATTTGCTTTAGCAATAACTACCACATGTTCACAAAGGAATACGAGGGTAACTAATTGAAATTAATAAATATTTATTTATATCTGTGTATTTACTATTTTTATAGTGATTCCACTCGCTATAATGCAATATGTATGTAAAAAAAATGTAGAAGAGACACGAAAAATTTTTTTTATGGGTCTCAGGAGGTGTGTATTTCTCTAGCACAAATAAATAAATAGTGTGAGTGCAAAATTAGAGCATAACTTTAAAAATAAAAACTTTTTCTCTTTATCATTACCTGAAGGAAAAAAATTAGAATAATTCTGAATATCATATTACATTGTTGCTTTTTCTTGATGCTGGTATTTAATCAGTGATAATTTAAAATGTTATAAGTGATAATTAAAAATGTATCAGTGATAATTCTTTGTATTATATATCAATGGATAGAATTATTATAAATGTGCAAAGTAATAGATGGAGGTAGATAAGTCATATTATAAATAGGGGCTGCGTTTTTAGCAAAAAGGTATCCAAAAATATCTGTGTTAGCGAAATTTCTGTTTTATCACGTCTGCTCAATAGAAAGACCAATACTAATAATAGCCAATTAACATTAGTGAAACAGTAAACCAGCATTTTCATAAAGGGACTATTTATTATCAGATTGTGATAAGTACATAATTTAGGGCAAATGAAAAAGATTAATCAAACCAATCACAGATCTATATGATAAAGAACAATATCAAATTATGTATTATAAGATATAGTTTTTATTGATAATATTTAATAAAAAATTATTTGTTAGGATTTTTCACTAAGTTCTATGGTCTATCTGGCATACTATATATGTGTTACATACAATAAAACATCTTATGTGTAAGACTACAGTAAAAAGATTTTAATAGCTAGAAAAAGACATTTATAATTGACAGTTATATATTAAATTAGGAAGAAACCAATGACTTTACTTGCAAATTTCTTGTAACTAAACTGAGTTTTTGTTCTGGGGATATATGATCACCATTGGTTTGAGCAGCCATTTTTCTCAATTAAATTTGTGTCTGAAAAAGAAATTGAATGTTAGTTGTCATATTTTATAAAGGAAAATAGAAATCGTCACTCTCAATTCACTAGATTAAAATGGAAATAGTTCATACTATGAACTACTAATTAAAATAAAACATTTTGCAGAATATTTGCTATAAGAAGTTCCCCCTTTTCCCAGACAAATAATTAGATCCAATGGCAATTCACTATTTTGGATAATAACTTTAAAATTTATAAAAAATTTCCGAATCATATTAAAAATATCGTGCATATCATATGTAATTTTATGATTTTTTTTCATAACAAAAAAATATATATGTTTATAAGTGGAAATTTAATTATTGATCTTTCATTTTTTAAAATGATCCTCACCCACAATAACCAAGGAGCTATTACAAATCAAACACTTAACAATCAATATTTAAATTTAAAAAAAAAAAAAGAATATCACAAATAGTAGGTGATACAGAAATTTCAGTTTCCCAATTTACAGACAGGAAATATCGATACTTCACGATATATCACTATTTTTAAGCATTTAACTAAACAAAATTTTACTTTGGTTAATATTTTCACTACTTAGATGAAATTTACTAATTATTCATGATAATATCGTATTCGATATCGATAATTTTCGTATTCCATATTACTAGTCATGGATAGTTGTTGCTAGATTATCGTATCCGATAAAAGTCGCGATATTATAGTATTTGATATTTATTATAAACAGGGCCAGATTACCCATTATGCCAGACTAGGATATGGCCTGGGGCCCCCAACGATTAGGGGTCCCCTTAAAATTGATTGTTTGAAAATAAATTGAGAAAAATTAAGGAAAACAATGATTTTTCAAATTTTTTCAAAATGTTATGATTAGNCGAAATTTTGGTTTTATCACGTCTGCTCAATAGAAAGACCAATACTAATAATAGCTAATTAACATTAGTGAAACAGTAAACCAGCATTTTCATAAAGGGACTATTTATTATCAGATTGTGATAGGTACATAATTTAGGGCAAATGAAAAAGATTAATCAAATCAATCACAGATCTACATGCTAAAAAACAATACCAAATTATGTATTATAAGATAGATTTTTTTGTTGATAATATTTAATAAAAATTTATTTGTTAAGATTTTTCATTTTATTGATTTCTATGGTCTATCTGGCATATTATATATGTGTTACATACAATAAAATATCTTATGCATAAGACTACAGTAAAAACATTAACAATTTAATAGCTAGAAAAAGACATTTATAATTGACAGTCATATGTTAAATTAGGAAGAAACAAATTACTTTACTTGTAAATTTCTTGTAACTAAACTGAGTTTTTGTTCTGGGGATACATGATCACCATTGGTTTGAGCAGCCATTTTTCTAAATTAAATTTGCGTCTGAAAAAGAAATTGAATGTTAGTTGTCACATCTTATAAATGAAAATAGAAATCGTCACTCTCAATTCACTAGATTAAAATGGAAATAGTTAATAAATACTATGAACTAATAATTAAAATAAAACATTTTGCAGAATATTTGCTATAAGAAGTTCCCACTTTTCACTGACAAATAATTAGATCCAATGACAATTCACTATTATGGATAATAACTTTAAATTAAAAAAAAAAAATTCCAAATCATATTACAAACGTTGTGCATATCATATGTAATTTTATGATTTTTCTTTCATAAATGAAAAAAAAAAAAAAATTTATAGGTAGGAATTTAATTATTGATCTTTCATTTGTATAAAATGATCCTCACCCACAATAATCAAGAAGCTATTACAAATCAAACACTTAACAATCAATATTCAAAATTAAAAAAAAAANAAAAAAAAAAAAAAAAAAAAAAAAAAAAAAAAAATCACAAATAGGTGATACAGAAATTTTAGTTTCCCAATTTAAAATCAGGAAATATCAATACTTCACGGTATATCACTATTTTTATGCATTTAACTAACTAAAATTTTACTTTCGTTAATATTTTCACTACTTAGATGAAATTTACTAATTATTCATAATAATATTGTATTCGATATCGATAGTTTTCGTATTGCATATTACTAGTCATCGATAGTTGTTGCTAGATTATCGTATCCGATAAAAGTCGCGATATTATAGTATTTGATATTTATCATAAACAAGGCCGGATTACCCATTAAGCCAGACTAGGCCATGGTCTAAGGCCCCCAATGATTAGATAAATTTAATTTAATTTAGGGGCCCCCTTAAAATTGATTTTTTGAAAATAAATTGAGAAAAATTAAGAAAAACAATGATTTTTCAAAATTTTATGGTTAATTTTTTCAGTTCTAATTTAATAAAATAAAGTAAAATTTAATTTATTATTATTTTAATTTTAAATATGCTTTCTTAAATGAAAAGACATATAAATACTCTTATATTTGAATAAATAAAAAATATACGAGAAAAAAATTTAGTCTAAGGGCTCCAAAAATTTAAATGGCCTTGGTCCCCGCGTACGCTTAATCCGCCCCTGATCATAAAAGAATGACATTCACGTTACATAGAGCAAATAATACTTAAAATATCGTTATCAGGAATTTTGAATACATCAATAATTCACGATATATTGCACAACTTTAATTACGGAACGATTGTTATTAATTTGGTAAAAATAAACAATGTGGGAAATGGCAAAGGAAAAAAAAAAAAAAAAACTTCCACCGTGGGAGAAAAAATAGATACTTATGCAGATTAAAAATAATGTAATCAAAACTAAAGGGAAAGAATGGCGCGGTTTCGTTTTGGGGAAACCGAAACTATTTTCGCATCGGTTAATAACCGGCTTTGGCGAAGGTGTGTCTAGTTCATTATGATTCCGTAGAAATGACCTATATTGGTAGATAAAAGAATTCCTTTCTCTTTAAAGGAAGTTAATCAAAATTATTTCCGAAGCTCTCAGGGGTAACAAATAATTCATTAACTAAAATCTGATGCAATAACTCAAATTGGTTTCACTAGAACTACTTTTTTAATGGTAACAGTTAAAACAATTCACCTCAAGAGATTTTTATACAAAAACGAATTGAAAAAGAGAAGGATGCTTTGTATTCCAAACTTGTATTTCAATTATTCCAAATACAGCTGAATCATAAAACACTTTTTTTCTATCATAATTAATAATATTGTTCTTTTGAATCAAAATTAGTTTAATAGAAAACATCTTATAACATAATCAACATAGAAAATGTGAAGTTTTATGATGAAAACTGTTCGCTAAATAAGTCACTATTTTTTTGCACGACCAGTTTTTCTTTTACAATAAACCAATTTTTTCTTCTTCTCCTCTTCAGAGTTTTGTTAAAACTCTACTCATAATCTTGGGAATTTGTAGAAATAATCAAAATTCATTAACAAACAATTCATTAACTAAAATCTGATGCAATAACTCAAATTGGTTTCACTAGAACTACTTTTTCAATGGTAACAGTTAAAACAATTCACCTTAAGAGATTTTTATACAAAAACGAATTGAAAAAGTGAAGGATGCTTTGTATTCCTAACTTGTATTTCAATTATTCCAAATACAGCTGAATCATAAAACACTTTTTTTCTCTCATAATTAATAATATTGTTCTTTTGAATCAAAATTAGTTTAATAGAAAACATCTCATAACATAATCAACATAGAAAATGTCAAGTTTTATGATGAAAACTGCTCGCTAAATAAGTCATTATTTTTTTTGCACGACCAGTTTTTTTACAATAAACCCAATTTTTTTTCTTCTCCCCTTCAGAGTTTTGTTTAAACTCTTCTTATAATCTTGGGAATATGTTGAAATAATCAAAATTCATTAACAAATAATTCATGAACTAAAATCTGATTCAATAACTTAAAAGTAGTTTCACTAGATCTACTTTTTCAATGGTAACAGTTAAAACAATTCACCTCAAGAGATTTTTTATACAAAAACGAATTGAAGATGGAGGATGATGCTTTGAGAAGGATGCTTTGTTTTCCAAATTTATATTTTTAAAACTATTTCAATTATTCAATAATTTGTTGACTGGGAATTTTTTACGGAAACTGTCATGTCATCAGCTATTATTTTGTAATTGAATATGCATGTAAAGTAAAATATTCCAAATAAGTTTTATTTATACTGAATGAAATTAAATTAAAATTTGAAACATTCTATATCGCCCTGGGTTTCATAAATTAACATAGATAATACAAATGCAAAGACGTGTTAACTCGTCCCTGATCAACAATGTTAACTTGCATAACTAGTTTTGATAACAAAAGCAACTTTTTTTTCCATCTATTTTTTAAGAAAATAAAGTAGATAATTTTTTTTTTACCCGACTCGGCTTTAGACATTATTTTATATAAATTCTAAATTAAATCATCAAAAAATATAAAACACAATTTTTTTTATTAATTTGTATTATCTTTAAAAAGAAATACAGCTGTATCAGAAAACACTCTTTCTATCATAATTTTAAAAAAAATTGTAATCTAAATTAGTTTAATAGAAAACATCTTTTTTGCAATCTAGATAAAAAACTAAAATTATAAGTTCTTATGATGAAAACTGCTCGCTAATCAAGTCATTATTTTTCTACACACACAAGACCTATTACAAGACCAGTTTTCATGTTTTTTTTTTTTTTTTTTTTTTTTTTTTTTTTTTTTTAAACAATAAACCAGTTTTTTTTTTCTTCAGAATTTTGTGAAAACTACTCAATCTTGAGGAAAATATGAAAATAAAGTCCAGTTTTTGAAAAAAAAAAAGTCTACCAAAGAGTTTTCATTTTAAAATAATGAATTAAAGACGTCATTGACAGACATTTTACATAATTTTTAAGAGGGGTCGATTTTAATAATGAATTTTTTCTCTTCCTTTTATGAAGGGACTATTAACGGACCCAGATTTGTCCTACACTGACCCCTGAATAAATATCCCCCAGAATATTTATTTTGTCAATTTCACCTTGGTATTTGCCGTCGCTAAGATAATTTAAAAAAAAACTCGTTCAACCATTTGAAAACAAACTTGTTTAGGAACATTAGATTTAGCAAGTGCAGCAAACATATCGCTATTTAAGTTAGCAAACATTCGCAGATATAACTAAGGTAATTTTATGAAAATCTCTATTCTTCCCAACTAATAAAATTTCACAAAAAATTAACTACCTTTAGAAATCCCGATGATAGATAATTTTTATCGCTTCTAAAAAAAGAACCACTAAGAAATACTTCAAATGTAAATTACCTTTTATAGAATCGAAATATTTATCTGTAAACTTCAGAGAATTTTCTTAATTTTTTTATTTATTTTAAATCGTCTGATATTATGTCGCGATTCATAAGAGTAACGTATCAGAGAAGGGAGAAATTGTTACGCGCACGATAACTTGATTTATGATTTTCTGCGTCTTTGGTCTGTTAGACCATGGCATCATCATAATATGAATAAACAAATCAGTGCGAAAGGAAACGTGTATAAATATATCTGAACAAATACATGAATCCAACACATTCCTGTAAAAGCTTTTTTCTCCGTTGATGATGCAATCAACCACAAACGCAACTTAATAAACAAACAAATACCAAAACACAAACTTTTCCAATACGGAGAAATACAAACTAAACTAAAATCAAGATTGAAGGAACAATTTTATTAGATTAATCAATAAATAGTAACTATTTCAAATAAAGAAAGATTGCGACTTAAGTGGTTTAAAAAAGAATAGAAACCTGCAACTACATTCAACAAAGGCTGAGATAAGTTTAATAAAAGTTAAAACTTGGTATTTAAAAGGTTAGTTACTTATTTTCTAAATTTAAAAATGTTCTAAATTTAAAAATGTACAAAGGAAATAACAATACAAGCCATAGAATAATTTAACTAAATAAATTCCAATTAATTCGTACCAAGCGTTAAATTGCTCATGAAACTCCCAGATAAGGAACTGGTTTTGAAAGCATGCGATCACCAGTTCATGAATCTAGTAGATATTCCATCTACGAACATTTATAGGATTTTACACATTATTAACATATTTAAAAAGTTAATAAACTCCGGAAAATTATCAACATTTATTGTATCTACATATTATCTCTTTATTATCACATGTATTTTTATTTTATTTTTCTTGGCTAACTACAAAAATGTGAGGACTTTTTTTAGGTGGCTCCGCTAAGTCACCCCCATAATTGATTCTCATTCATAGTCAATAATTTAAAAAAGAAACACAGAACATTTTGTTAATATGCTAATCGTAACGAAATAGGCGATTACCCAGAATTAGAAAAATCATCATCTGTATAGGGAAGAAAAAAAATTAACCTAAGGAATACTGATTGTGGGACTCAATATAAAAAGAAATAAATGAGGAGTAATTATACTTGTTAACGATACTTATAA